TAATTACCACCTGTCAATCACTTTTTTTCTTGTGAATAGGCAGTGATCTGTGTCGTTATAATGGTGTCGGTAAAAAAGGTGCACAACCAACAGGAACCAGCCAACAGTATCTGAGGTGTTTGCTAAAATGACTAGTACTAGTGTGAAAGTAAAAGATTGAAGCAGTCTTAACTAGGTTAATTAGGTTAACCAGACAGGCTAGGGTAATTAGACAAGTTATTGTATAACGATGGTTTGTTCTGGAGACAGTCTGAAAAACAATTAGCTTAAGGGGCTAATAAATTTGACCTTAAAATGGTTCATAAAAAAATTAAGAACTGCTTTTATTCTAGCCAAAATAAAACAAATAAGACTTTGTTCAGAGGAAAAAATATTATCAGACATACTATCAACATTTGCTTGCTCTGTTAAACGTCATATAGGAAATATTTTAAAAAGAAAAAAACAACAAAGGGGGGCTAAAAATTCTGACTTTCACTGTATATATATTTACAGTAATTTTTTCTACGTTTTTAAGAAAACTTATTCAGTTCATTAAGGCTACATTTATTAAATGTAAAAAATGTTAAATTGTTAAATATTTTTTAAAACTTTAAATAACTGCTTCGTTATTGTATGTAGTTTCAAATAAAATTATTACTCCAGACATTATTGCTTTTATTACTATAATAAGTATAATAATAATTAGTATTAGTGATTTCTGAAGGATCATGTGACTGGAGTAATGAAGCTGAAATTTCATCTTTAAAATCACTGGAATAAATGAATAAATTAAATGATAAACTACTTTTGAACAGTTATTTTATAGTGCAACATTTCATAATTTGTATTTATGATGAAATAATTGCAGCCTTGGTGAGCAGAAGAAGCTTAGTTTAACATATTTAATCATAATCATACAAACGTCTATGTGTCAAAGCACCATAAGATTGTATTTGCACACAATTGACAGACAGTCGCAGCACGCAGCTCTGGCTCGATCTGTCAGGCATCAAGGCACCACTGTACACTGGCCCGAGCGTCACGCACGCTGGCTCCGGGCTATCGGGCAGTCCTTATTGTCGAGCCCTGAAGGTTTAAGCTCTGTAGATGGGTCACCTGCGTCTGCACAGTTCAATGAGCACTTTAACAAGCGTGTTTTTTTCCGCTTGGCAAGCCAAGCTGACGTGACATGGGGGCGTGGCAGCATCGACGATTCTATTTTTTGATTCGATAATCAAAATCGAGCATAAATTGATCGATTTCGATTAAAAATTGAAATCGTGACACCCTTAATAAATATATATATATATATATATATATATATATATATATATATATATATATATATATATATATATATATATATATATATATATATATACACACACACACACACAATTGAAGTCAGAATTCTTAGACCTCCTGAATTATTAGCCCCCATTTATATTTTTTCCTCAATTTCTTTTTAATGGAAAGATTTTTTTCAACACATTTCTGAACTTAATCATTAATAACTGATTTCTTTAATCTTTGCCATGATGACATTAAATAATATTTTACTAGATATTTTTAAAGACAACCTTTTAAATTGAAATTTAAAGGCTTAACTAGGTTAATTAGGTTAACTAAGCAGGTTAGGGTAATTAGGCAAGTCATTGTATAATGAGGGTTTGTTATGTAGACTATCGAAAAAAATTGCTTAAAGGGGTTAGTAATTTAAACCTTAAAACTTTTTAACAAAAATTAAGACTGCTTTTATTCCAGCTGAAAAAAATAAATAAGACTTTCCCCAGAAGAAAAAAATAGTATCAGACATAATGTGAAAATTTCCTGACTCTGTTAAACATTCAGGAAATATTTAATAACGGAAAAAAAATTCAAAGGGGGCTAAAAACTCTGACTTCAACAGTATAAGGGCTGCACGATTAAAAAATTCTGTCTTGCTCATTCCATTATATTGCACAAAAACATTTTTTCACAATGTCATAGCTCAGACCTCATAGCAGATTGCAATTTTAGTTGCATAGTAACATTGTGTTTAGTCAGGGATGTTCTTTAAGTGGAATGATGACATTAAATTAACTTGTTAAGAATTTCAACAAAGCAGCATTTAAAAGCTACAATGCAATCACAATATGGCATGGAAAAAGAGGTTGTTGTGCATTAATGCAAACAACAGTATTTATATTCCTCAACTGAACTATGCTGCAATTTTAGCAAGCATAGTTGCTATAAAAAGTAGTGTATGATTTTAATTCATAACAGATTTTGAACTTCTAATTATCTATACTGAACAGTACTAGTTCTAGGCACTGTGGTTTTGTAAAGATTCTTTGAATGAAACAGATCAAAAGCATTTGACAGACATTCTACTTACACTATTGCTCAGTTTAATGGAGTGTTATTGTGTATAATGCTGTGTATAATTAAAACACCTCAATGACAAGCATCAACATGACAAGCATTAACTTCTGGTCACCTTGGACAGGGATTTTAGGGCACGAACAGCATCTCTTCGATCCTCCAACAGGGTTGATGAAGCCACACGATCACACAGCTTCTGAATCTGAAGATTAAATCAACAGAAAGACACAAAAGAATGGTTCGTAATTGCCTCATCATAGTGTGGCAAACCTTACTTTATTTCAAGTATCCAATAAGTTCACATAGAATGTATGTATGTATATATGTATGCATGTATGTGTGTGTGTGTGTGTGTGTATATACATATACACACACACACACACATAGAATGTATGTATGTATATATGTATGCATGTATGTGTGTGTGTATATATATATATATATATATATATATATATATATATATATATATATATATATTATATATATATATATATATATATATATATATATATATATATATATATATATATGTGTGTGTGTGTGTATGTTAGTATGTATGTATGTATGTGTGTGTGTATACACACACACACGATGGAGAACATTAAAACCATCAAATTACTAAAAACGACTGTCATATATGCCATTTAAACTAGCTTTACATCAGGGTTGTTTGTCATTTGATTAACAAGCAGTTAGTCTCAGTAATCTGCAAGCTGAGTTCATTTTTTATTGGTTTACACGCATAACGTCAGATGTATGTGTTTATGCAGTAAATTAGCTCACTGTTTCTGCTCCAGTCGGCTGCGGGCCTGCTGGTTTGCTTCCCATTACTCCCCTCAGGAAATCCATCGTTCTGTGTCCGCTTTACTAATATTTTCAATGTTGATCACAAGGCAGACTAAACCTCAGGTGAAATAAACTGATTTTCCAGGAGAGATAGACAGCAAATGTCATTAAACAGCAGCTGCCTGATGTTGATCTCACAACACACCAGCACCCAGCCCGGAACTGACAAGGACACGCATGCGCATAAACGTGGCGATACGTGGCTGACCACAGTGTCAGTGACGATGTCTTAAAGAGACAGATGACACAAAAACACGATGTAAATGAGTAACTTCTAGTAATAGAAAAACGCCTTTTCGTGTGCAGTAGTGTTTCAAACAAGCAAGCAAACAAACGAATAATAAATAAACAAAACCACACATTTTGGAAATATGGTAATAACTTCAGTGATAGAATAGAACAATAAACAGGAATTTTGCACAGGATTGAAATTCATTATAAAATGTTATTAATAGTTAGACTGCGATCCATAAAGGCAGCATTTCAATTTGCTGCTTTTGTCATATCTTTTTTTGTCAAAAAACATTTCATATTTTAAAAAAATGAATCTGCTAGCAAAGTGTGATTAAATTTTCCAATTTTACTGTTGACCTTCTGAAAAAATGTCTAATTAATTTTTTAAATATTTTATAACTACAATGTTGTGTTGCTAAATCTATCCGAAAAATATATTCTGTATTTTCAAGAAACGGGTTAAAAAATGAGCTTTTCTTCAAACATTTTAGCATGTTTTCAGTTATCAGTTTAAAACAATCACAATTTAGTCAGATTAAATCACAAACTGTTTTCCAATACAATAGGTGTTTTATCTATCTAGCAAACAATGCATAGGTAATAACAAAGGCCAGACAGAATCTGTAGACATTGTTTGCTATTTCTGCTGAAAATATAGTAAAAAAAATCTGTGGATTTATGCAAAATGATTTGAAGAGCGTCATAACTAAAAACGTAAAATATATAGTAGAAAATAAATTTTAAACGTTTTATTAAACACTTACAATTCAAATCCATCTAGTTCCCCTCATTTGGTTAACAAACCAACTCTTATATAAAATATGTTTTAAAAAAAAAGAAAATATTACTTTACAAACTGTATTGTAAATAAATCATATGAACATTTTTATATTACTATTAATATTATATCACAGTAATATTAGAGGGGCATATATATATATATATATATATATATATATATATATATATATATACATATATATATATATATACATATATATATATATATATATACATATATATATACATATACATATATATATACATATATATATACATATACATATATATATACATATGTATGTATGTATGTATGTATGTATGTATGTATGTTAACAATACAGGTTCAATCCTATGGCAAAATATTCACTGTATTAGAGGCAAAATGTGCTACACAACACTTAACCTTCATCCTACATTTGATGGTGCACTGGACAGTTTAATAAAAAGAGAGCAATTAAACTTCAAAAAATGTTGTAAGGGTCATAACTCGGGTAGCGTGAGTGTATTTGTGACATAACTAGCACATCTTTAATTCAGCCACATGACCAACATGATTTGAGATATATATATATATATATATATATATAAAATAATAAAAATATTGGATTTCAGAAAAAAAGCCTGATCTCCTAAAATCAGTTTGTGAATTTTAAAAATATAAATTGTGTTAAAAACAGCAACAATGTGAATAAAAACTTCAAAAACAACAGCAAAAAGCAACAGTAATAAGCTCATCATGAGCCTGCACAGTACAGTAAGGTGGTAAATTAAAGCCATGACACTTGTAATGAACAGCACAGATTTCTGTTTATTGTATGTGAAGTCTAACACATTGAAACTGAATGAAAACGAAAGAAAAATTACAAAACGTAATAAATAAACACCCAGCTGCAACGTATTCTACTCACACAAATATGCAGTCCAAGTAAAATAATGTTAACCATCTGCTAATACAAGTCCATGTTCTTGTTCCACCAAAATAAAACCACATCAACGAACCGAGCCGCTATAATAACTTTTAGAGAAACTGCACGGAAACCAATCAAAACAGTTTGCATTAGGATCAGAGGGTTAAAAGAATCTGATTATGAACTAAACAAAATAAATCAGAAGTCTGATGCATATTTTGGGATGAAAAGCACAGTTATTTGACCAAGCCCTATTGTGTAATGTCTTCTTTTTTTTCTCCCCTGTGAATCAAACGCTCAACGTATTTGGCTGATTGAAGTGCTTTAAGTCTAAACAGAAAGGCCATTGTGGCATTTATATACACAGTAATTAAAACGTACCAGTTCCCAAACTGAAAACATGTACGAACTAGGTAGAATGGATGGGGAAAGAAGTCTCTAGGCAGGAATTACTGATATACTTTCTTCCAAATAGTAAAAGTATCTGTAACCAAAATGTCTTAGTGTGGAGAACAAGTTGTCCCCAAAACTACTGAACAAATCAAAAATGCAATGTCCCTGATGAGGATTGTCCTAGAAATACTGCAAATAGTGCAATCTACCTGACACGGAAGACATTAAACATCAAAAATAGCGCTACATCAAACTGTACTTACAAAATCAGTGCAAATTTAGACTTTTGAGTAACACTGCAAAAAGAAAACAGTGTCTACTCTACTGTACCTATGGTTCCTCCAATTCATGAAGAACGGCATTTACGGGTTCTTCATTATGACCAGACAAAGATGGACATTTGGTGTAGATATTAAAATAAAAACTCTACTTGAAAACACAAATGTATAAAACGTTCATTAATGAAGCCTCTTCTATCTCATGTGTTTCAAACTACGTTTCTAATCAGTTCTGTTTTTAAAATGCTATTGATAACAATAACTTCAGTTTGAATGCAAAACTAGTCTATTTGGGACAATCAGAAATACACCAGCAAGGTTTCTCTGTACCCTGTATGAATACTGTCATGAAAAAACAACAATGGCTTGGATGTAATCTGAAATGCACATCACAAAAAGAGATTTAGGCTATGAAAACTGATATAAAAAAAGAGATTGAAAATTTAAACTTCATAAAGTGACTCTGCCTTAAGAAAAAAAAAAAAACATTCAAATCTGGAACGCATTTGCACAAAAATCATGGTACCTTTACAAACGCACCTATTACTGCTCCATTTACTTTTTTCAGGCAGACACGAACATAAATGAGGCCAAACCTGTACAATAAAAAGAAAGATTTATATAGAAACAGAATTGGAGAGGACAGTGTATTTTCTCCTCCCTTACGTTTTTTTTTTCAGATTACAAACTTAAATCATTTCTTTTCTTTCTTTACAGTTTTATAAAGCTGAAATCGTGTTAGCTCACAGTTACAACTTCAGGTAGCATTTAGCTTATTAATGAGCTATTCAGTGTAATTATTTAAAATAATATGGATTAAAGGCTAGCCTGAAAAATAAAACAAAATCAATACGATGAAAAGAAAAGGCCATCTCTCCATCTGCACAGTTTGCAGAAACTAGAAGGTTATCTAATACAAAATGCCACAGAGCAGAGGTTAAACTTCGTACGGCACTAAAAACACCCAACTTCTTTCCCCACAAAGTTTGCAATTGTTTCCATTTGATAATCAACAAACCAGAGGATTTGCAGCACGATTCCAATTTAAAGTGAATAGTGTGTTATGAGTCATTAGGTTGTTCAAGTTGTTGAACTGCTTCAACGGAAACAGTAGACATTCCAAAGGCAAAAATGCAAGTGTAAAACAAAGAGTAAGGAAGATTATATAAAATAAAAAAAACCTGAAGTATGTATATGTTTTTTTACATAGACTTCTCAATATCAGAATAAATGAAGACCGTACTACTTCCAAACTACAGGGAGAGCTCCTCTCAACGCCTCTGAGCATTAAAACGGCCCTCATTGGAACCCGAGCCCCTTCCGGAAGCCAAGCCTGGCTTGGGTACAGTGGCAACACGTGAAGGCGGGCCTCTGCCGTCTCGCTCTCGCATCATGTTTCCTCCAGCGATGCCCCGCGGCCCACCCGGCCCGCGATCACTGCGCCTGACGTCTCGACGATCGTCTCCTACTCCACTTCTGGTTTCCCGCTCACGCATCGCTCTCGTCTTTTTCTCCTCAACATTCAGACGAACTTCTCCACGGAACATGATTGGCTAAAGACAAATGACAGAAACAAGCACAAACATATTTACACATGAAGAAACTTACAAGCAGGGATGCATCGATTGTGGATATGACAAAGGAGGGCCGGTGCCCTGCACAGTTTAGCTCCAACACTAATCAAGCACACCTGAACAAGCTAATCAGTGTCTTAAGGATCACTAGAAATCTATAAGCAGGTGTGTTTGATTAGAGTTAGAGCTAAGCTGTGCAGGACACCAGCCCTCAAGGCCCGAGTTTGCCCACCCCTGGCCTAGGGCCTCAATACATTACAGATATGCTGACTGAATACAAACCTAACTCAGATCTTTAGGATCAAATAAACTAGAAATTCCAAGAGTTCAGTCAAAGCAGGTTGAATCCGTCTTCAGCTACTGTGCACCCCGATGCTGGAATCAGCTTCCAGAAATGATCAGATATGCTCCAACAGTAGGCACATTCAAATCAAGACTGAAAACAGATCTGTTTAGCTGTGCCTTTACTGAATCAGCACTGTGCTACGTCCGACAGATCGCACTATTACGTCTTTCTTTTTTTTTCTCCATTCTTTTATAACCTAGTTTCAACACATTTAAATCGGTTAATCATTTTTATTATTTGTTTTTTTATTTTGTTATACGTGTCTCTTTTATTCATGCTTATGTAAAGCACTTTAAATTGTCACTGTGTATGTAATGTGCTATATAAATAAACTTGCCTTGCCTATAGAAACCCCCATACTAAAATTTTATTCAGTGTAACAATATTCATTTACCCAAAAATATTGTCAGCCAATTTTTAAAACAATATCTGTTTGATGAGATAGCAAGTTTCTATTAGCCAAATAATAATAATAATAATAATAATAATAATAATAATAATAATAATAATAATAATAAGAGTAATAATAATTTGATTAACCCTTATGTACAAAGGCAACGTTGTTTCTAATCTTTCACGTTCAATACTGTGATTAAAGAAAAAAAATAAAATAAAAATCCAGTCCGCAACTACTTTTTATATTAAAAATATGTCTTTTTGTGTGTGTGTGTTTTTATGAATTTGCCAATTGAAGGATTTAAATAATGTAATTTTAAAACCATTTAGTAGTTTTGACCAGGACTGAGCAAAGGACTTTGCAACATCAAGCAGCGTAACAACCACAGGGCTGATAGTGGAAAAAATTCCTGAGCCTGAACTTTTTTTCCTTGCCCCTGAGGTGAGTAGGGGTGGGGGTACTATGTATGCAACGCACTTTTAACACATAACTTGTGGGCCCCTGGGCCCAAATATATTAACAGCCTATGTGTAACCCTGATCATCATTATTGTCAAGTGGCTCTTTTTAGATATTTTCCTATTTGCATTATGCCCCCAGTATTATTCAAGAAAACAAAGCATTTTCTTCTCAATATGTTCAGTGCCTAGATTGACATTATTAGCCCATCTTAGAACAATCACTGGAAGTAAATGCTACAGATGCTACAGCCATACCAAGACAGGTCAGTAAGTGGCAATAATAGTACTCCAAAGTACACAGGAATTGATTAACTAAAGGACATGAAAAGGACACACATTCATTTTTCTTTAACAAATTTAATTGCAAAATATGCACCCTTCAACTGAAAAACCATAATAAATAAATATACTGTAAAAGACAGTATGGGATTAACAAAAAAACATGTCTTCTTTCCTTTATTTTTTCCTTTCTGAACTTAGTTTTTGGTCCAAAACATGCAAATGGTGACCACTGAACTGAAAAAACAAAATAAATAACTCAGAGACACTCAGAGTGTCGCGCTGCATGTCACTGCAGTGACATCGACACCCGGCGAAGCTTATGACATTAATTAACACGAGCAAAACCATATTTAATCATTACGTGACTTTTAACCTAATTTATCGCGTCGCAAGTTAGTTTATTTGCTGAGCTACTCCACGATGTTTTAATTTAAACGCATTTATTTTATGTATTCGTAGTCATACTTCCGTACGTAATATAGTCATTTGACAGTACATGTCACTCAAATTTATTGTGGCATGCTTATGTATGGGAGGGGTAACACTTATCTGTTGTACTGTATATTATTGCATCCTGGCAGTTCCTTTGTTCCCTACAATATGGACTTCTCTGTTTTTAATTCATTCATTTATTTTATTATTTAACTTATTTTCATTTTAAGGTATTTTAAATAATATCCTTTAAAATGTTATAATAAAATGCATGTTGAAAACTCATAACATATATGCATGTAAGATAACAGGTGTCATTTGCCTAATGATTTTTAAATATTAAAGCAAAGAGACTTATAAGATTAATGTGCTTATAACGTGCTTATACTGACACCTACTGGCACATGTCACAAGATCACTGACACTGGCATGTGTCACTGACATTACTGGCATGTGTCACTGACATTACTGGCATGTGTCACTGACATTACTGGCATGTGTCACTGACATTACTGGCATGTGTCACTGACATTACTGGCATGTGTCACTGACATTACTGGCATGTGTCACTGACATTACTGGCATGATGTGTCACTGACATTACTGGCATGATGTGTCACTGACATTACTGGCATGTGTCACTGACATTACTGGCATGTGTCACTGACATTACTGGCATGTGTCACTGACATTACTGGCATGTGTCACTGACATTACTGGCATGTGTCACTGACATTACTGGCATGTGTCACTGACACTGGCATGATGTGTCACTGACATTATTGGCATGTAGCTGCAGTGACAGCAACACAGCGTAATGATGCTTATAAACAAATCATTAGGATGCTGTCAAACATCTGATTTATTGCATCGTGAGTTTGTATATGAGATAGTCTTCTATGTCTTTCAACTAACACTTTACAATAATTATTTAACCTTAGTTAATGCATTAGTTTACATGAACTAACTATGAGCAATGTTATGCATTGTTTAGTCTTTGTTAATATCTAACTAAACTTTTAAAAAGTTATGCAGTTTCGTTATTAAACAATAACTTCATTCATCATTACATAATCTTTACCATTTTTATACCTAATATCTGAAAATCTAAAGTTGCCCCAAGCACCGGCAAAAACAAATAACAATGAATGTGTCGAGGAAAGAGTAAGGACATCTCTTAATTGTTTATTAATAAACTTATTCCCAGTCAGTGTCGCCAAGATCCTGACCGGCAATCTCCTCTTGGACTCGCCTTTAGAGAGAAATTCATCTTTACGGATTACATGAAGGAGTTTTTTTGTTTTCGATTTGTTTTATTTCGTTAAGTAATAATTTAAAGCTTTCTATAAATATATTTATTATGTCTGTGAGGCATATACATTTTGCTTCATTTTGTTAAGCGCTCCTGTTCAAAAACCAGACGACAGAAAGCGCATAATTTTGGTTTTCTTTATTTTATAAAAACGCTGTAAAGTTTTTTGATGTATTACTCGTACTTTGTGAGCAAAAATGACGGATAACTTTAAATTGCTCCCACTGAAAAAATGCAAGTGATTGCTCTGGCGCCTCGATGTCCTGCAAGCTTTTTATAAGCAAACTATGCGCCTAATAGCACACATTCTTTAACGTTTAAGCTACCATTGTTTTATACTTGAACTGTTTTATATCTTTTATTTTAGGCAAGTCGTGATGATCTGAGAAGGCAAACTGATCAAACAGACAATGATGGTCTTCCGCTGGGCGCTGTTCGTTAAAAAAACAAACTTATTTTTAACGAATAAAAAATGCTCCAAACGTTTTTCTAAATAAGCTGAATAAAAAACAAAACTAAATATAAACACTTTGCCATTAGGCTACATACAAAACTGAACTATTTCATAGCTGAAACACTAATATGTTTAAGGAGAAGGGGGAAATATATTTTTGTTCCGTCTATTGCTTCACCGTTATTTCGAGAATAAACCCAGCGTAAATATGCAGATGTCATTCCCAAAACATATCAGCGTATATGTGCCGAAAACAAAAGTTTCATACAAATTCTGAATGGATTATAGCCTGGAAAGTGCAAAGCACGCTCCTTTTATTATCACTAAAAAGCGTCACTAATCTTAGTTCATAGAGATCTCACAAAGATCTGTTATAATTTATAAAGCTCTCTAAATTACACAATTAATCTTTTATTTACATGGCGTCTACACTCAAAAGATGATTCACGAGCACACAAAATGGCACTTAATAAAAACCAATTCGGCGCTTTCAGCAATGAGTGAATTCTGTGAATCTAGAGAAATTACAGATCAATATCCGTGAACCTGATTTTTTTTCCCCCTGCAGCCACAGTACGCCGGAAATCCGGCGTGGTGCCGGAACGCTATCACCCCTGCAACCAGCTTTTAATGTCTAAAAATGAATGTAATTGAATGAGACCGGGAGTCTCGAGCAAGAAAGATTCAAATGGCTGTGCCCGCTCGTCGGCAAAGAATAAGGTGAATAACTGAAATAAAAGTTAATCAGCAATTTCTAGTTTACATTAACTTTAAAGGTCATGGTACAGCTCCAAATCTATACAGCTCTAAATATCATTTGATTTCTTTATAATTTGCAAGTATGCTTCAAACCATTAGGTTTTACAGAACTCTTAGAAAGTTAGAAGATTTTAATGACATGAAACATGACAAAATCTAGCATGACAGTTTATTGTTGTATTTATTAGTATCTATACAAAATATATAGTTCATTTTTACAAAAACATGATGGCTTTTTATGTACATGAATTCACTTTTAACTGCAGACACCATTATGTCATGTTTGTAGTGATTATTCTAATTAAGGTTTTTGTTGTTTACATTTTTTATAATTAAATGTAATGAATATTTCATTTTAGTTATTTTAATACTTTAATACTTAGTTCATGTTTTGCTTTGTATGTCAGCTCTGCAAAACAATTTTAATATGTTTAAAAAATTCAATTAAACAACTTAAATTAAGTAAAAATGTTGGTTTTGTTAGCAAATGTTGGCAAAACCTTCAATATATTTGTAATGATATTTTAAAGCAGTGGTCTCAAACTCAATTCCTGGAGGGCCACAGCTCTGCAGATTTAAGCTCCAACCACCTCCAACTCACACCTGCTTATTGTGAGCGTACTCACAATATGCTATCCAAACCATGCCCAGGCCTGTTTCCCGAATCGTTTAAGAAGTGTGAGTGCTCTGAATAAAACAATATAACTAAAGAAATCTCCACTGTGCTGAGCGAAAGCGCTTACTGATCAGCGCATCATCGATGACGCAAGCATGCTCAGGCCCAAATGTAATGTGAGTGTAGGCCGTCAGGGGAGACATCAGGGGGACAAGCGTGCTTTGGCCCAGTTCAAGGCAACTGTACATAGTGTGAGGGCCTACTCGCACTATGCCATCCGTACCCTGCCCAGGCCCGTTTCCCAGATCGTTTGAGAAGTGTGAGTGCGCTGAATCTGGCTCAAGCACGGTTCACTTGGCCGGCCCTGGCCCGGTTGGAAGAGGTGGGCCTAAGCGGTTTACTATTGCTTTGGTACGTTTGTAGTGGAGTGCAAAGCGCGCCAAAGCCCGAAACTGAAAGCGAGACGTGACTTTTAAGGGACTGTTTCATATAGATTTATTAATCATTCTGACTGTTCAGTGAACACAAACTGCCGTAGTTTATTAAAGACGCAAACCTCTCACTGCACGACAGCTGCGCACCTTCAGCAGACCTCCTCATTCCTGCAGCACGAGTGCTTTATGATTATGACCGCCAAAAGTGGCGGATCTGTTCGGCGAAATATCTGACTGCGTCACCACATCCCTAAGGACTGTTTGGCGAAATATTTGACTTCATGTCACTGCATATCAAACGACTAAAACGATACAACTAGAGAAATCTCCACTGTGCTGCTGAGTGAGAAAGCGCTTCTCACTGAACAGCACAGCAGCGATGACGTAAGCGTGCCGAGGCCCGATTGTGGTGTGAGTGCGGGCCGTTGGGGGAGACGGGAGGGGGGACAAGCGTGCTTTGGCCCGGTTCGAGGCAACTGTACCTAGTGTGAGTACGGCCTTAGTCTCTAGTACTCTTGAAGACCTTGATTAGTTGGATCAGCTGTGTTTGACTAGGGTTGGAGCAAAACTGTTCAGAGCTGCGGCCCTCCAGGAATCCAGTATGAGACCCATGTTTTAAAGCAAGGATATATGTTGTTGCAGGTTTACTAGATCCATTTAAAATTATTTGATGTTTTATTGCTGTATCATTTTAATATTTAGAGAAAATAGTGTGAAATTTAGTTATCAAATGGACAGATGGATGGATGCTTTAAAACTTTATTTACCAAAACATAAATAGCTTTTCCTTACCTTGACTCCCAAAATTCTTTGCACCGGCTCTGAGTCATCAAAGACAACGAAGCCAAAGTTGGGAATCTTTCCTCCAGTGCTTTTGGTGTTGATTCGTAACTCAACAACATTTCCAAAAGCTTAAAAAGAGAGAGATTCAACAAACAAATGTTAAGATCAAGAAATATCGGAGACTCTGGATTAATGCAGGGGTTACCAAAACTATTTCCGACAAAACACACACACACACACACACACACACAAAAAAACACATACTCATGAAGAAGTCTTTGAGTTCACTTTCATCTATGTCATGAGGGAGATTTCCAACAAACAGCTGATGACTGTCTGGATAGCGGACCACCCTCCTGCTGTCCATTTCACTCGACTCGTCAGCCCTTCCTAGGTAACAAGATTTCACCTGCTTTGACTTTGTAGGGATCAACACCATTTTGTCGGCATATTTAAACAACAGCACTGAGCAAAAAAAGATGACATTTACCTTTATTTACGAAGCTGAAATGTGGTTTTCCTGCTTGAGGTTCAGAAGATGGGACACCATCTAATGGTTTAGGAAAAAGAAAATCTAATTAGTGTTAATGAAGTGATTGAAATCAAAACTAATCTCAGTATTTTGAAAAAAAAAAAAATTAGTGAGAGGAATCCATTTATAATTTTGTGCATACTGAACATTACAATAAACATGTCACTAACCAAAGTTTATTGAACTTAATTTGATACACAAAAATTTGTTCCAAACCTGTCCAATTAGTGACCGAACGCAGTGACCATATTAACTAATCTAAATAAACAACATTTGCCGATTTTTTAAAATGAAAATCAATTTGGTTAAACCTTCAGTGCTTTAATAAATATGACATTTAAAACTAACTGAGGATGTCAAGTCCCTGTCATAAATGATTTCATAAATGTATCAATCAAACAGTTAGTTCAAAATGGCTGATTCCTTTAGAAATGTTCCAAATAAATCATTGTCTCAAATGCTCACTAAAACAAAAACCTGATTAATGGGTCATTCAGTGGAGAGGAGAGAGTGATAGAGCCAATTCAGTGGATGGGGATGATTGAGAAGCTGTGATGGGTAAGGGCAGATGGAGAGATTTTGGTCAGAATAGCGGGGTTACACCCCTAACTCTTTACGAGAAGTGGCATGAGATATTAAATGACCACAGAGAGTCAGACTCATCTAAAAGACAATGCTCACTGACAGTGTATTGTCTCCAGCACATAACGTGTCTCCTGCTGACCTCACTAACACCACTTTTCAACTGCAACATAGTTTTCCCATATGATCTCCCATCCAGGTACTAAATAGGTTCAGCCCTGCTTAGCTTCAGCGAGTAACTGGTGGGTGCAGGGTGATATGGCCGTAGGCATTTCTGACAAATAGAAAAACCCTCTGACAAAATTGTGTCTAAAATGTTTCTCACTCAGTAACTTGTGTGTTGGATTGTAATATGGAAACCACACTGATACTTACACACTGGTATTAAGGAAAGTATGCTCTAGATGGCATGAAATTTACCAACTACATATTTATATCAAACCCTATAAAAAGTAAAAAACTTTTTGGTTTCATAACCTTTGTAGCTCTTGCAGAATCCAACAAAGGATCTGAAGGTTCTGATGGTAACCTGTTGCGAGTGTTGCTTCAGTAAAGCAATTCTATTGGGTTATGTTGTATTTTCTTTCTTTATGTTAATTTATCATTATTTTTTTAGTTATTCACTTATAATTATTATTTATATAATTATAATGTAATAATTATTAACATTTAACCATTTGATTATTTGTCTTTTTATTATGTTTTTGTATTTTTTAAAATGTTTTTTCCAGAATTAATGTTTTGTTATAATTGCCTATTTTGTCTTATTGTTTTAATCTTCTGATTGAGTGGATTCAAGAGAAACTTGTTTTTTTAAGGGAAACTTGTGGATTTAGACAATACTCAAGATATTTTATTTTAGAAAAACATTTCAGATCAACTGCCTAAAAAACAAAAATACTGTTAAAGCCTTGATTCTTGTTAAAAATGTTAAATTAATACAACAAGATCTATAAGAAAGCCACATCAAGTACAGAGAATTACGACCCAAGTATTCTAGATTCTTACCAGATCTAGGTCCTCTTGAGGTTACTGGAGGTCTGTCACGGATTCGCTGGTCACGTGGACGGATTGAAGCTGACAACATCTCTGGCTTGGTCTCAACTCTGGGCTAATCATAAAAAAAAAATCAAAAACACATGCAGATGAAACATGGATCAAGTAACTTAAAATGAAAATAAATGATATTGATGCATTTATAAATTGGCCTTGACAAAACACCCATAGAAACAATCCTCTCTCTATGCACCAGACACTACTTAAACTCCATCTTACAAGCACTGAAGACAGTAAACCATGTTTACTTGTGAATGTAGCAAAAATCAAATTGCACTATTTACTTTTTTAACCTGAGAGAGCTATTAACAATATTGTTTCAGTTATATGTAAAAAACTTATATATTATGTCTTATGTAGGTTACGTATGCATTTAACAATTTATAATGCATATATAATTAGATTACTGCTCCATGTTACTTATGCATAGGCTTAAAAATTTCTCTCATGTCCAGTGTTATGTTTGCATTGAATATTAAATATAGGAATGACAACAAACCTCAACTTGACTTAAACGTATAAGGACTTACCTGTGTGTTAGGTGCTTTAACAACATGTGGTTGACCTCCAGCAGATGGAACAGTTCCACTAAGAGGCAGATTTTTGCTGGTCACAGAAGCCCAAGAAGAAGTCTGGCAGAGACAAGACAATTTAATATAACTTCTCAGTAACAAATGCAATGATACTAAAAACTAAAAATCGCAATCATTTGGTCAGCTTGGATGTAAAATAATTTACGTCTAAATTTGAAATGTCAGAAAAGGCAGTAAATGTCTAGATTTACTTTTGGTGGTTCTTGTATATTGGGTGGTGATTCCAGTGGAACAGGAGACAGGGCTTTCTCCTCAAACTCCTCTACATCCTTCTCTTCTACCTTGAGCTTCGACTCCTCGATCTTGGGATCTGGAGCAACTTCAGACTGTAGGTCCATAACAGCTTCCTCATGAGCTTCTTCCACACCATTGTTACAGCTGAAAGTAAAAAAAAAAACATATTAGAGTAGTGGTGTGTATTATTGGCTTAAATATAGTCAAAAATGATTTTTTATCCATTGATTTTTTAAATTTATTTATGCTGGTTGCTTGGCTGTTTTAAGCATAGATAAACCCATATAAAACTAAAACCAGTCAATAGCAAGTCACGGCTTAATGGGCTATATACATGGCAAGTGTTGTTCAGCACAGCAATAAATGCGTGTTGAAAGGTTAATGGGTCGGTTTTCAATGTAATCATTGTAATTGAATTCAAATATAACTGCAGTCAGTCAAATAGACCTAAGAATTTATTTAGTTATTCAAGGCTAAAACAAGATGAAAGCTGTTTAAACACAAGCATCTTTAGGAGCAACAGACAAGCTTAAAAACCATTGAAAAAACTATGGTAAAATTAATTTCTGTATTTTAAATACATGGTGTGAAAATAGTATTTAATGCAGTGCTTCTTTTGCAGGAGGTGATCTCAATCAAGCTGTCACGTCATTGATTTTAAATGAACCAGATCTTAATGCGGTGAGTTTATAATAACAGGACACTTCACCGAAAGCTCCTGAGTGGGCTTATTCAAAATGGCAAGTCTCTGTGCATATACTCCATTCATTCAGTCCCAATTTACTTTAAGGGTGTACTCGCACTAGGCACGGTTGCCTTGATTTTTACCTTCTGAGCCAGAGCAGACTTACGTCATCGATGATGCGACAGTTCAGTTTAACAGAAAGAGAAGCGCTCTGGCTCATTACAATGGAGATAACTTTAGTCAGTTTAGTTGAAATTGTTTTGTATTATTTTCATTTGTCATTTTTTCATTTATTATTTTCATAGAGTCATTTGGGATGCGATGACGCAGTCAAATATTTTGCTTAATAAATGTACCACTTTGATGCTCATAGATTTTGTATTAGGTGGTTTGCTGAAGCTGGTAGCTGACGTGCAGTGAGGGGTTTGCATATTTGATATACTATGACACACAAAGGGCTTGACATTAACACCTGCCAGAACGCAAAATGTGGGTAGATTTCAGCAGTGGCTCGTTAGACAGACACCCCCCACTAGCTACTTTGGCTGGTTAAAAATATTTTTTTAAGTTGCCAGAGCTGCCTCTTCCCTGAAGATTAGAGTTTAAGACTGTTAAGATCTTTAGTTTAAGACCGGTCGTCAAGATGCATGAAAAAAATATATATTAGAATTAAGAAGCAGCACGATTGATAACTGTTCGCGTGAGCAAAAGAAAGCAGGTGAATACTGAATGAGAGGGTGATTGGGCACACGTTGAGACACAGGCGATCCTCGCTCACTGACACTGTGGGCGAGGCACAGCTGATGAGAAGCACGTGAGTGCTTTAAATCTCCCGCTTCCTTGCGCAAAACAACTGTGCCTAGAAACGCAACTGGTGCGATCGTTTCTTTGAAACAGATTGAAAAAAAGAGGTAACACTTTAGAATAACTATCCTTTATAACTAGTTAATAGTCCATTAATAAACTGTTATTTAATGAATTATAAAGGACTTGTTAAATAAAAGTTAATAGTTTGTTAATTATTTATAACTGTGCCTTATAGATAGCCAATAGATAACTTACAAGCAGTTAGTTAACAAGTTATAAAATGACTTGTTAACTGTATTTTAATGATTTATAGCTATACCTAATAAATTAGTAATAGATCATGAACAAGCTGTTCAAGCTGTTAAGTCATGTATAACTCATTAACTAACAGTTTATTAGTGGACTTAACTAGTTATTACGGATAGTTATTCTAAATTGTTACCACATTTCTTTAATAGAAGATTAACTTCTTTAGTCTGGACAAACTACTGTGTATAGTTTTATAGCATTTTTTTAATTGGCAATTAATTTTAAACAACATTTTAGTTGATTAAAAGTTTATGCTTACAGCTATATTTAGCTTGTTTTGACACATTTTTTAAAAATTGTGGCAAGGAAATAATTAGTTGAAAAAATGGTAAACCCTTAGTGTTGAGCCCTAAAAAGTCATGTGAAAAAAGTTAAGGAGGCATGTGGACATGACACACAATTTAAATCAAGTAATTTTGGCAAGCCTAAGTGTAATTTATGCATATAAAATATATTTTCCTAACAACAAAATTGTGGCTAGTGAAAATGGTGAGCGACTAGTAACGTTGGAAAACTACTAGCTACTGTGGCTGGTGATGAAAAAAGTTAGTGTCAAACCCTGACTATGACTGTTCACATTCATTAAAAAGAATGAATGATTAATAAATCCATATGAAACAGTCACTGAAATGTGACATTGCAGCTTCAGTTTTGTGCCCAACTTAACTTCTGACCCTCCTCTTCCAACCAGGCCATCTGAACTGCACTCAGGCATGGTACAGAGCACTCACACTTGTTAAATGAACTGTGATATGGGGGTCAAGTGAACTGGGCCTGTTCAAATACCGACACTTGTTGTGGTCAACTCGTCTACTTAAATGACATCTTTCTTGTGTTTGGCAAGTGCTCAAGTGGGATTGAAGGATTGAAGCCCCAAACAAAAATAAACGTGTTTTCATCTGTTCAGTAGTTGCTATAACATAACTTCTACTTCATATGGCTTCTAATTCACATAAAAAGTACATAAAGTTACAAAAACAGAAATGTACAAAACCTTTGTATGAATATTAAATGTAAAACTTTTTTAACCAACTTATATTTAATTTACATAAATTAACAGTAGAATGCTTTTACTGACATCACCAAACTTGAATTGTAAGCACACACACGATCCTGAATGCAGTCAGATGGCATATGCTTACTACAAAATGCCAGGTATAAAATCAGGTAGAGTAGATTTAATGCATGCCGGGGTATTGAACTAGTTTCTAAAACCTGGGACAGTGTTGCTCATTTTCTGTTACCAGTACCTGCTCTAAAGGGCCAACATTGAAACTGTGGGTTTTTGGACAGATCAAGTTCATTTTAGAATGAATAGAACATAAAATGTAACTCACGTAATATTCATTTATTTGTTAAACTGTGGTATAAAATCACGATGATAACTGTGCACTGAAAAGGTTTGAAAAACCATGATAAATAGAAAAACCACCCATCCATACAGGGATATTTCTGCTTTCAAAGATGTTCAAACTGCATTCTAATAGGTTTCATTTTTACAGTTATTGTTTTCAACTCCTCAGACACACTTCTGTTTTTTTCTAGAGTAAGTGAAATACTCAATTACTGTATGTCAGCTTGTGCACTTAGAACAACAATTACAATATTTATATATGATAAATAGCACACACCTCTACATTACACTACTGTGAAAATGAGAAGCAGGTATTCAAACAGAGCTGGGAATGAAGATTTTTAAGAGAACTACCCCAAAGGTGTAGAGTTAGCATGGACAAGGGTGATGGGCCCCCAGCAATATCCACCAATTAATAAATCGGTCTCCACCTATACTTTAATACCAATAATTTAATAAATAAAAGTCTGTCAACACTCAAACTAAATGTGCAGAAAGGATTAAATCATGTTCTCTACTCAAGTCCTACCTCTTCCAAACACACATGACACTGTGAGTAGCTGCGTCTTTCCCTGATCTCATGTAAGGTTGTAGCTAGTTTGGATGTAAGCAATGCCAAAACTGCAATTGAAATGACACAGTTCCATACGAGACATACTGTGCACAACATGTGTAACACATAGGTGTCAAAGTCACTTGAAGTAAAGTTAGTTTTATTTAGACCTACAATAATAAATATGATAAAAAAAACTGATTCAAAAAAAAAAAAAAAAAAAAAGATTACTGAATCATAGCTTGCTCCCTTTCCAGCAGTCAGCATTTGTTTCTCTGCAAAGCCTGATATCATGTAAAATCATGTCATGTGACTTTTGCAGCATAGGACACAGTTATTGACATGTATAAGATATAATCATATTTTTAAATGTGTAAAAGAGAACTTATGCTGCGGGAGGGGTTAGATTTATAAGTGCACACAAATATCTGCTAGTTTCCTACTGGACTAAGAATCCTCTGTGATTTTTAGCTCAAGTAGGTTTTCATTCAAGTTCAAACTGAAATGTGGGTTACCTCACAGGATGGGGTTCATAGCAGTTTGCATTACTGGGACTGTCCTGGAGGGGTTCAGGCGATGGTTGTCTGTCTTCTGGCTCATCCGTCTCCTCCTCTGACTCTGTCAGGGTATATTTTGAAAAAGGTGAACCATTGGGTGAAAAAAAAAACAAAAAACTAATAAACAAACAAGCTAGCAAACACCATCCATAAGGCAAAATTAATAGTTTATATGGTTTTATTTCCTGTCATCCACACAGAAATAAAGTTGCGTGAATTCCAAGAACAATTTATTTAGACTCAATTTGAGGTGCACATGCAATAATTAAAAATGTTCTTTTTAACTCCTAGTTCTAGTTTGGTTTGTCCAGCCCATTCAGACTTTCTTTGCAAAAAGTAATAAATAAACAAAAGTTTTTTTTTTAAGATATAACAATGGCGTTTAGTATACAGAAGTATTTTCCTTTGTTCAAACTGTATCAAAATAAATGCATAATGTATCTAACAAGACTATTACATTTTTACAAACATAAACATCTAAGAAAGAGGAACATAATAGATCAGATTCAGTAGGTGAGAGATTCATTAGACGATTTGTAAAGCTTTGATAGAAAATGGTACTTACGCCAATTTGTAGTTCATATAGAGAGAGATTTTTGAGTGAAAAACAAGTTTCTAGCTCAAATGCAGCAGCAGTGCTGATGTTTGGACTATTGCAATTTTAATCACTAGTTGCTAGGCAACAGTACATCACATCCATCTCAAAATGACACAAAATATAAATAGCCACAGATCATTTATGCAAGCACGCAAAGTAAAGTGAAGTGAACTGAACCAATTGGATAAAAAGTTCAAAGTGAATAAAGAATAAATGCAGACACAAATGCAAATCACGGGTCACAAGTGAATCACAAGAAGAATGTAAATATGACTTAAAGGTGCAGTTCACCCAAAACTCTATATTCTGTCATCATTTACTCACCTTTTACTTATTCCAAACCTGTTTGACTTTCTTCTGTTAAACACAAATTAAGATATTTTGAAGAAAGCTGGAAACCTGTAACCATAGTATCAACTGTTTTCTACATTGAAAGTCGATGGTTTACTCTTACCCAACGAAGGTAAAAGGTTTTTAGCTTTCTTCAAAATATCTCCTTTTGTGTTCAGCAGAAGAAAAAAATCTTCAAGGTTTCGAGGTAAATGTTCAACTATCCCTTTAAAGTGTAACAAGGTTAGAACAGCTTAGCCAAAAACAACTGGGTGGAAATATCAATGCCAAGACACGCATGCTACAATTCTTTTTTAGGATAGCCTGCCTATAGACGCTTTATCTATGAATCAAAGTAAATGTAATAATCTTTAATAATTCTCAACAAACCTTCATCAAGTTCAGCCTCAGAGTCCCCAAAGACCTCGTCCTCATATCGGAAGATGTCGTTGTGGACATAAAACTTATTTGCGACAGAACCCTAGACACCAGTTAAGACAAAAGTCAGTAAATTTAAAGAACAAATTATTATTAAATTGATCATTTAAATATTACTATGCTTATTAATAATAATTCATTGAGGAACATTCTTATTATTTTTTTTATTCGTGTTTTTTATTTGATGACAATATTCAGTGTTTGTCGTAATGTATCTGTTACAGGCCACTATAAAATACACTATGCATGAAAAGGTCTTTTTCCAAGTAGATTTGTTTTACAAAAAGAAAACAAGCCTAAGAATACTTAGAAAAATCTTTAAATATATAACATGTTGTAAGATTAGGAGCATAAACTGCTAGTTCTAGTTAAAGGAATCAATCAGTAGCTACTAAAGGGATAATTCGCCCAAAATTTGTCACTAATAATCATTTACTCACCATGGTATTGTTCTAATGCTGCATGCCCTTCTTACATTTTTAAGAAATAATAGCTCAGAATTTTTTAAACTGCCCTGCTTGTGTTCTGTGTTTAGGATCAGGCCAGTTAAAAAAAGACCCACCTCTCACTCACAAAAGGTCAAAAATTTGTCTCATTCATGAGATCATTTGTCTAATTTTGACTGCTATGCAATCATAAATTGTGAAAATAACCCATCGAAAAAAGGGTTTAAGACCAAGTGGAATCCTTGGCTGTTGGCTTCGATGTGAAATCAGCTAATCAGTTTTGATCAATGCAACCAATTATTTTTCTTGAGTCCAACATCCAGCTGAGCAAGAAAACATACAATCTGACGTAAGTGAAGTCATCTTTCACGGCTGCATTGTTTTAAATGGAAAAAAACATTTTACAAACAGCTTTTATTCCAAATCTTGGTCCTTATTCCTGAAACAAAAAAATTACAAATAAAAAGGTGTGAAGCACCAAAAGGGACCCATATAATAATTTATTTAAATACTATTTTGGTGAATACTGTTATTGATAAATATTCAAATATACTTTTTTCAAGATAGAAAAATTGAGAAGCTCTACATTACTATTATTATCATCATCATCATCATGTTTTAAATTTTATTATTCAAATGGCTAAATGTAGACTGAGAAAAGTTGAATGTGTTGGCCAGTTTGTTATTTGCCTAATAAATGACAACAGGCCAGATTCTTATTTTCTTATTTTTTTCTAATGATAATATGATAAATTTGTATTTTAAAAATTGTTCATATTTCTTTGTTCTAAATCTTTAGGCAATGTTTTTGATACATCAAAACTTGTGGTTATGATGACCACCCGACAAGTTAATCCAGCTGAAAGTAGTGCTTACAATGTCACAAAAATGCACAATTGAATAGAAAATGAGGAGAATATCCCAAAAAAGGTCCACTTTTTCAAGGAAAAAAGAACCACCCCTTTAATCAGGCTGGCTACGGGCCTGTAAATAATGGTAGTGAATAGCAAAAAGTATTTTTGGGGGGGAATATGATAGCGAGACTGACACTGTCATCAGCTGTTGTATATTCATGACAGAAAACAAGATTTTAATTGGTCTTTGTCTAATAATCTTGATTTTGACTGGATTAATCTTGAAACGGTGTATGGTCCTTTTTAGTTATTTTCTGGTCTAAAAAAGGAGAGGGCATTCAGCATTACAACAACACCAGGATCAGTTAATGGGTTTGGTTAAACAATCCTTAACACAGACAACCTTAATATAGTGGCTGTTTACATAAGTTAAGACCTATAGCAAAGTGAGAGTTCAAATCTCTTTTTTAATTGAGACTTTATGGGTGTATTTGAAAAACAAAACAAAACAAAAGGCCTTACTTGCTTTCTCTTACTAATCTGACAGAGCTTCAATAGTTCTGCAAAGAAATTCCAGTGGCCAGATGTGCAAATCTCCATTCATACTCACAAATTCAAGTTTGTACTTTAACAAATTAAATACTAAATGTTGGATGAATTAATTAAAATATGTAATAATAATGGTATATTGTAATCCTACACACCTCTGGGGCCAGCACAAATGTCTGTAGGAATTTCCTCATGGGCTGTCCATTATTGGAAAGCTCTCCCATCACCTGAACAACCACACCATCACTCAGCGTGGCATGGGCATCCACATGCCGGATTTTAGTGTGGCATTCGCTGAACTGCAAGGACATAACCTTTTTGTGTATCTCCTGTAGATGGGAAAAACAAATGAGTATACATACAATTCAGCTTACCTGAACACACAACTATCTTTTAAACTTACTGCTTGCCCATAGACTGCTTCTGAAAGTTTCCCATTCAAATCCAGTCCGCCATGGACGTAAGATGAGTTTCGTCCATAAAATCTGCATCACAAAAATGTTTTGAATAACTTGTATTTTAATATGATAAAGCCATGTGAGGAGACATTATGAAATTATGATTTTGTAAGGCATACCTGTGCAGAAAGTCCGGTGCTTTATTTAGCAGTGTGTAATACTGTCTCACAAACTCCCGCCCTACCAGCAGGGGACTGGGCTTCTCCATCACCATTTCCTTCCTAAAAAAATATTTTTTTTCTGAAAGAAAAAATATTGTTACTGACAACCACTATAACAACAACAATATATAAACAAACATAAACTACTGACAAAAATAAAACAATTAAGAAATAAAAAAAAACAGGTCACTTTCACTTTTGCATTTTCATTTATGTATTTAAATGGAATCAATACTCCAAAAAAGGCTTTAAATGCATCCCGTGTCATTTATTATAATCATGCCTACATGAGGGCTGTATTCAATGCAATTAGATAACAAAGAAACTGAGCATTTTAACTTTACAATCTGAAATCTGTCAATAGCGTCACAATCAACCTTTATTACCCGCATTCACACAAATTTATTTATGACTGATCAGAATGAATCCAGTTAGACTAAATAGAAGTGAAGCATGTCGAAATCAACAAAATGCTTAGAAGACCTATAGATGTGTGGCACTTACCTTTTTTCTGGGATGTATTTGATTGGTCTAAGTGACTGAATAATTATGAAAAATTATTCGATTCGTCTGATATATTTAGAACAGCTGTTTTAGTGACAGCGCCAGCTACTTGAAACCACAGAGAGATAGAAATAGCATCTATGCTGTGTTATTATTGGAAATGCTGCTGTTTGGATTCTTATTGTCTAACCCCTGCGATCTGGGACAAGAACCCCCGTCACACTAGAACAGCCAATCAGCTTCTTACACTCGACAACACAATTATGACGCTCCTACAACGCATTCTTTAGACCCCTGTCAACAACGCCATAACGGGCAAGATATGCCGTTAAATTCGCACAATAAATGGTCTTGGATGGTTATAGAACAATAAGGTTTTGAGAGTTTGTTACGAGACGTTATTTACCTATTTGGTCAAGGATATTTCAATTTTACGCACTACGTAGCATTTCCTTGTGTTACATTTATTAGTGTCCGGCTGATATGATTTTTAAGCTGGTTGATACGCTCGCATTCCTGATGATTTTAATATATTAATACATAGTGATATTTCAAAATAATTTGCAGGCTGAAATTTCATGTCGAGGTGCTGTTGGTGAAAATGACGGCGGAAACGAAGCGCTTATGTCGGTATGATTTAGTAGAAACACAAAAGCGTCATTAGAAAGAAATAAAAGAACAGTCGGCAAACATCATTATGAACACCAGTTATCCAGTAGGGGGCACTTGGTGGCTCAGAATGCAAAGCGCTATCAAGCCATCAAAATCCTGCAGAGAAATTTAAGAAATTTACAAATGTTAGTAAATAGAAAACATGTGTCTAAGACAAGTCCATTAATTTCTAATAATTTGGTACATAATTCTCACCAACAGGTTATTTTTAATCTAACAATAAGAACTGACAAGCAGTAAGAAAAACAACAACTATCACGTGACAAAACCGTTGGCGTGTTGCTTCATCTTTTATGTGAGCAATAGTTTAAATAGGACACTTTTTAAAATAAATATTGTTTTTACAAACAATTTTTAAAACATGCCAAAGAGAGATAAATTAAAATGTAAATTAGCACAAAAACAGAAAACAGATTCATCCGACCAATTAGAGACAACCTCATGGCCACTAAGCCACGCCCTATTGAGGTCCCCATACTTTTCAAGCGCTTTCTTTCTACTTGCTCTATTTTAATTCGATACTATAGTCGGATCATTTCAAGCATTGCTAAGTTAGTTAATTTCTGCTAAGGATAATATCTTGTTTTTTTTTACGGTTTATAAAAACGTTCCTTAAACAAAAGCTTGAGCACAATCCGGTGTCAGTAAGTTCATGTTGCTTTTGTTAGCTCAGAAAGACTAGATATTGTAGAGTCTGAAATGAAGCTTTTCTAGTGTTATCCGAGAATATAACATCGTAAACTCCATAAGTAGAGGGCCGGGTCATTTTCTTATGTTAAATTAGATAATAATCGCTAAACAATGGCTGGGACAGTAAGTCTAGAGTTAGACCCTATCTTTCTGAAGGGACTGGGGTATCTTCACTCCAAGAGCAAAGACTCGGCAGAGAAACTCAAGGCCCTGCTAGATGAGTCTTTAGCCAGAGGCAGTGACTCCATCTATAGGAATTCAATTAAGGTGATCAAATCAAGAAGGTATTATTTTTTTGTTTTTTATTAGTAGATTTAAAAAAAAATATTTAACTCGTTATCCATTGAATAGGAAGCTGAAGTGAGCAAAGTGTCATTGCCAAAAATGACAAAACAAGACTCCAAATCCTCCTCAAGTTCCTCAGCGTCATCATCCATCACCACCACCAGCAGCAGTAAATCAAGCACCTCAGAGAAGTCCAAGAAAGAGAGCGAGAAAAGAACTTTGGAAAAAGTCAGTTTGCACTAATATTCATTTATGATTGTAAATGTGACATGACTGGAAATTCTCAGCATAATTCACTTTTGAATATTTGTATGATTTAAAGATTAGGGTTGATCCTGGAGAAGGAGTGGAGCCGCCTAAGAAACCTCGTTTAGAGAAGCAGGACAGTCATTCCTCTCCGATTGCTTTTCAAACCAAGGACATTCCTATTCCAGATTTCACAGATATTGATGAAACCAACGCTGATGACTTTGCCATGGAAATGGGTCTTGCTTGTGTGGTTTGTCGGTGAGTGATGCTACTTCTGATGGAGTTTTCTTCGAATAAGTAGCTATATGTAGTGGGAATGTGAGTGTGTTAAAAGTTACAAAAACACACAACTATTGTTGTTTACTAACAGGCATTAATTTACTCATAAAAATCTGTATTCATTTGTTTGTTCAATATTCATCAGTATCTTTCTTTATGTTTATCAGAAGAAAGATACTTCAACTAAAGGTTTAGAGCAAGTAAAGCATGAGTAAATGATAATTTATTTTTTGATGTTATTTGTGAGTGTTAGATAAACTTTTTTGGATTTTTTTTTTGTGTCATTACACTGATGTCGTTGATGTTCTCTGAATCTTTAATTTATTTTCGGCCATTTTAATTCGAAATGTATCTATATTTCTCCTCTCTCAGACAAATGACCGTCACTTCTGGGAATCAGCTTGTGGAGTGTCAAGAATGTCATAATCTTTATCATCAAGAGTGTCACAAACCTCAGGTTACTGACAAGGATGTGAATGACCCGCGACTGGTGTGGTACTGTGCTCGGTGCACCAGGCAAATGAAACGAATGGTGGGAAGTGTATGACAATGAATTTTATGCGTATCACTGAAATAATAATGAAATATTAACTGTTATGTGTTTTTAATATCTCAGGCCCAAAAGACTCAGAAACCACCCCAAAAGCCAGCTCCTGCTTTGGCAACAACAGTACCTTTGTTGAAAGATCCGCTAGTCAAGAAAGCTGAACTAAAGCCAAAACCTGAAACGACAGGTTCATTCCAGGCCTTTAAGAGAACAGAAGTAAAGGTAAGTGTATTCACAGCAGCATAGCAATATTAACTTCTTTTCAATGATCTGATCACAAGTGGTCAGCAGAAGGTCATTTTCACCTGGTATTATCTTAGGTTATAATGTGTTCAGACTTATCTAGATCCATTCTTTTCATTTTGTTGTTTTCTTCACATTGTTCACTTTAACAGCATATTTTGATTACATTTTTATTCCTAGTCTTTTGATTAAAATCAAATTTAGTATTACTAGTCATATTACTAGTAGTATCTATATTCTACTGTAGATTTATTTAACTAAATCTAATAGTTGAGTTAAATCAAATAAATTACACACATCTCAAATTTCTAAGCTTATTATGTACTTCTGGAGAACACACTTATAAACATGAACAATATTAAGGTTTGAACAAAAAAGTATTTTGGTGTCGCTTTAGCCCTGTGCAATGGCAAACCGAAACAAGTTCAAGTCTATTCATGTCTAAAACACCAAGTCTACACAAATTTACATTTTTTTAAAACTTATTTTTATAAAAGCGTAAAAACAGGCGAAAGACCATTTAAACCCCAGGCACTGTTATGGCCCGTTTCCACTGAGTGGTACGGTACGGTTCGTTTTGGTACGCTTTTATGGCCGTTTCCACTGTCAAAAGGCATACCGAACCAAACCGTACCGTACCACTTTTTCGGCACCCTTTCGAAAGGGTCACAAACTGCAGAAAGGGTCCCAAAAGGTGGAGCTACATGCGCAGCTGAATGCTATTGGTTAATAGAGATACGTCATTTGTAGACTCAACAAGCCAGAATGTAAACAAAGGACCTGCCATGTTTAAAATACACAGCGAGAGATTACACAAAATTATATCTACATATGCAGCCATAGTCGATCCGGGCTCAAACAAACCCTGTCGCCGTCTTGTTAAACAGCCACAAAGCCATGGAGAAGAGCAGATTTACCCTGTGCCGCGTAGTTTTTTTACGAGCCAGTCTTAAGCCTGAGTGGTTTCACTTTTTTTCCTTGCGCTCGACGCGCGTTATCTGAAATAACTAACTTCTTTAGCTGATAATAATAACATGCGCTTGATTATTGACAAGCTTTGGAAACCCGATCCTGTGAGAAGCTGACAAACGCGAGAGTGACACATTCAGAAAGAAAAGGACAAACGCGGGAGTGGAGCGCGGAAAAAACGGCGAAGCCAAGGAGCACGTTATTTCTTCAGCAAACGTGAACAAACTGCCTAGTTTTAAATCTTTATTATTACATTTTGGACTAATATGAACTGGGAATGATGGAATGACTCTCTAACAGAGGCTACATGTGCTGCTGAAGATTACAGACACAGATGAGAGGTTTTCACTGACTAGGCTATAATTTGTGTTGTTATGAATCTAACTAACGACGAAATGTCTGCTTTGTGTAGTTCTTCTGTAGTTGGTAACATATCGGAGACTGTAAGAGGCTGTATGTGTTCATATATGTTCATTTATTTATTTATTTAATATAATTACAGACGTTATAGTAGGCTATTTCGCACTGTCATTGATCTGCAGTTATAATCAACTCCTGTTTATAGAAAAGTTAGTAATAAACATTTATACACAAGTATTTTTGTGTGTAAAGCATCTGTTTTATGAGAAGCATCTGTTTAATGATATGTGAACGACCTGTGCAGCTTTATTGTAGACATTTTCTTGAGCGAAAATGACGTCGACTGAAACTTTGTCATACACCACGCCCACCAAAAGGGTACCCTTGGTAGTAAAACGCAAGCCTGATAAAGGTGACCCGTACTGACCCGAACCGTACCGTACTGTACCAGTCAGTGGAAACGAGCCATTTGCAGCAAGCTAGCACAGACACTCCATTAAGAATACTGGGGTAAAATACATTTCCATGTTTTAAAGACATGGCACGGGAAAAAAAATGTAATGCAGTGCTTCTTGCTTGGGCTGACACCCACTTTATATCATATCTCAATCAGGTGGTGAGGTTTGCTGTTTTGTTTTTATTTAAAGAAATCAGATCTTAAATGCTACGATTTTGTATGGGATGACAATTAATCGGAAGCCCTGGTGCTGGCTGACTAAAATTAAAAGTACATGAACATATATCTTATTATCATCCCATACAAATTCACTTTAAGATCTGATTTCTTTAAAAAATAAAACAGCGATCTTCAATCCCTGGTTGTATTTTCAATGGAGTGTCTGTGCTAGCTTGCTGCTAATTACTTTCTTTTGTCTCTTTTTACGCTTTAGCAACCAAATGAATGCTGAAGTCAATTTAACTGATTATATTTTAATTAAATTACAACATTGAAACTGTAAAAGGAACCTTATGAAATTAAAAACAGTAAAAATAAAGCTCCCACTAGAAGTTCATCATTGGCTGAAAAACACTAGCTGTGCATATACAGTAGTCAACATTTGAAGTGGATCATCACCTTTTACCAAAGTTGTCTCAAAACTATTGAACAACACCCATTCCTGTCCTAGGACGATTTTGAAAAACGTTTTTAATTCTCTTTGAATGTTGACTACTGTAGTCTGTTCTTATGTTATTTGTTCCGTTTCATACAGTTCCCACACTTTTTGAATCCACAAATGTACATTTTAAATCAACAGTAGATTTTAGTTCACTTTTCATCATTTGTCTTATGATCATATGTCTGATAAAGATCATTGTAGTATTTTAGCATGACTTGAGTCATGACATGAGTGCATTGTAAGACTTTAAGTACACAATTTAATAAGAGTTGCAGAGTGCAAACCCTTGATGTTAAAAAGCTGCTTTTTTTCTTATAATACATCTCTATTATTTATTTAAAAATCTTTTTTTCCCTGTGCAGGCAACTGCAGCATCAGGAAACTCATCCAGCAGCAGTAGCAGCAGCTCGTCTTTGCCTCCGGGTCTTACAGGATGGGCCGCCTTCACCAAGGCAACCTCAAATGTAGGACCTTCCAGCACCAAGTTAAGCACCAGTCAATCAGGTAACAGTAAAACATCCCCAGCTGCCTCAGGCTCCAAACCTGTGGGTCTCTCTGCTCTGGCCAATGTTAAACCAGCTCTGGCCACTAAACCTTCAGGAGGAAGCAGTGCCGGAAGTGGCAATGGAAACAATGGCTCTGGTACAGTACCCTTAAAAGCACCTCCTCCGCTTACTCTAGGTAAACAGGTGTTGAGCCGCTCAGCGAGTGGAGATAGTTTGGGGAAAATGACTGTGACGGGATCATTGTCACCTGGAGCTGCACCTTCTAGCAGCCTGGGTGGCAATGGTGGGTCAGGAGGCAATGGAGCGGGCAACGGTGGCAATAGTGCTGGGAGTAGCAGCAGCAGTGGCAACAACAACAACAATGGAGCAAAAGCCTCGGCTGATGGCAAGGCACCCACTTCCCAAGAGTCTCAGCTCAATGCTATGAAACGCCTGCAGATGGTGAAGAAGAAAGCGGCACAGAAAAAACTGAAGAAATGAGGAGGAAGTAGGCAGAATGTCACGATAAAGAGCACGTCAAATCCTGTTTTCAGATCGCATACTTGAATTTAAATGTTACTGGTCGTTCTGAAGCGCTTTGGTTTGGAGATGTGTCTCTTTCTTTCTAAACCAGCCACATTACTGAAAACAAGCTGCTCCTTTTAATGATGTGTTGAATAAATAACACCTTTTTTTAAAAAAGAAATTCTTGTTTTTTTTGTTTTTTTGAATACAGGTCAGAGATTAAATTAGGCTTTAAACATCCAACTTAAATACAGCTTTATTTTAATAAAACTAGCTAATGAAATATGTAAATTTAAAAAAAGTTTCTCTTCTTGTCAGAATGCATGTTTGCTAAGGGTAGGGTAGGACGACGTGTTGCTGTTAGAATCAGAGGCGCAACACACAGCATCGTAATGCTCGTAGTTAGCACACACCCTGACCTGATGTCAAAGAAATAGACAAACAGCCATTTTTTTTTTTTGGGAGCAAAGAAATATATTTGGAGTTTCGTATGATTACTGTTTTACCGCTATAGTCACCTGGAATTTAGGTCTCAATTTTGACCATGTCTTAATTTTCCTATGTCCATGTAAAGCTAACTAATCACTTTTAACAAAACTTAATATAACTCTATTTGCCAGTATGGTTTAATTTTCATCCCTACAGTAATGTTTGTTTAAAGGATCTCTGTGTATTTATAGCCCATATGGTGAGGACAATGACCTAGTTTTTAGCGCTGGACCAACTGGGCTATTAGAAAAAAACCCATGTATGAGTCTGTAACCTCATTCATTATGGTCTTAAAAAATCTTTAAATTTACTTTGTGAAACCTGCAGAAACCCTGGGATAGTTTTGCAAATATTTTTGATTTCTTTTCTGGACTTGCTCTTGAATTTCATAAAATATATTTATTTGTGGTCCAAAACGAACAGGTCTCAGTGGGTTGCAACAATCATAACAGAATTTCAATTTTTGGGTGACCTTTTTTTATTGCTTTGGTTCTTTTAATGTTTAATTATTTATTTGCAAAATAGAAGTATTTCAGATTTGACCATGTTTAGCAGAACACATCCACTATCTCATCATTATATAAAAATGAGATATTTGATATACCTGTACTTGTACCTGTACCTCCCCTCACAAACAAACAAGGACATTTTTTAAATGGTTATAAATATTTTATTCACAATAGAGCTTTTTTCATATATTATTATCATTGTATTTACACAAAATATATATATATATTTTTTTTTTCTGATTAAGTTGATAATTTGTATAGAATTTAAGCAAACACTGTTGGTAGCATCATTTGTAGTGCAAAAGGGTTGTGCATGATTGGCCTTCATTAAGCAGTTACCTTCATATTTAAAAAAAAAATAAAACTTCACTTTTAAATATTGCATGTAAAAAATAGCTTTAGGCGTATGACATCTTTCCAAGGTAGTTTGCTGGAACGTAGCCTTTCTGTCCATTAGATTCAGCAAGCCACCAGTCTTTGTTTCCGCCGAGATCTGAAAACTGAAGGATACGAACGTGTTGGTACTCCTGAAGTGTGAGCTCTTGTTCACAGCGAGCCTTGAATGCATAAACGGCATAGAACTGTGGAGAAAAGAACAAATAAATCAATCTCTTTTTGTTATCCACTCTTTATCTCGGAAAACATGAAAATACAACTTTTAAACATCAGCAGTCATTTGTGTTTTAACTTGACTGACACAAAACCTTGTAGTGTACAGATGAAAAAAAAAAATTGTAAGACAGAGCAGCAGATGGCGCCGTCTGACCAAATTTGGAGCTGTTTGTCATCCATTTACTTTTTTTAAAATCAACACTCTTTCATCAAAACATATATAAAGTTTTAGCCTCTGAAACCTTTTTTTTCTAAATATATAAAGTAATGAAAAAAATGACACCATAGCCTATATGTTTCACCCCCTTAATTGTACAGTATGTTTCTGTTTCAGTAGCTATATTCTGTTTCACTTTACATGCCTGTACAACTGTCAGAAAGCTACTTGACATTAGGCAAAAAAACACACACAAACACACACAAAAATCCTTCTGTGATATTGGCTTAGTTTTACATTGCATTCCTCATTTCTTTAGGAAATGGTATATCAAATAAAAAGTTCTAAACACCAAGGATTGGTAATTTAATCAACATCAAAGATTTGTTCAAAATGGATGATTCATTTAGAAATGACGCAATTACTAATGGATCGTTAATTTGTTAACTTCAAATTCATTGACTTTAAAATTAATAATAAAAAATAAAAACAACAGGAAGGAAGGAAATACTGCAGTGTACTCCTGAGATGCGCAGGTGTTCTGTTCTAACTTTTTGTGGAACTATTTTTGTTGGCTGACTATAATTATTCTGTTTAGTAATCAATTTTAAATTTGTGATTGTTTTCTAGTGCTGACATTAGGAACATTTCTGTGATATTAATTGCTAAAAGGTTTATTTTCCCTTTTTCTTTCATTACTTCAGATGTGAAACGTAGTTTAACACTTTTCTTCCAAGTAATGTTTCACAACCTCATTTCTAATGTGTTCAATGTGAAACTCATTTGACACTCAAGACTGCTCGTTTATATTCTTAGCTTACATTAATAACCAACAATTACGATATAATCGTAGATGACAAATATCTCACAGGGTTCCCTGAATACAGGGTTATTCTATCACAGGGTTCCCGCAGGTCATGGAATTTCTGGAAAATCATCTGGACATTGAAAGTCAGAGAATTTTATTTATTTATTTATTTAAATGTAACTTTTCTATAAATTCATTAATTCATTTTCTTGTTGGCTTAGTTCCTTTATTAATCCGCGGTCACCACAGCGGAATGAACCGCCAACTTATCCAAGTTTTTATGCAGCGGATGCCCTTCCAGCCACAACCCATCTCTGGGAAACATCCACACACACATTCACACACACACTATGGACAATTTACTCTACCCAATTCACCTGTACCACATGTCTTTGGACTGTGGGGGAAACCGGAGCACCCGGAGGAAACCCATGCGAAGGCAGGGAGAGCATGCAATCTCCACACAGAAACACTAACTGAGCCGAGGTTCAAACCAGCGACCCAGCGACCATCTAGCTGTGAGGCGACTGCACTACCTACTGCGCCACTGCCTCGCCTTTTCTATAAGTTAGCCATAAAAGCTCATTTTTATGCAGTCCACTTCCACTGAAGGCTAAAATCCCCTAAAAATAATTATAAAAAAATGTAATGACAAAAAGTGACGCAGTGGAGGTTGCATGTTCTCCCTGCGTTCGCGTGGGTGTCCTGTGGGTGCTCCGGTTTTCCCGACTGTCCAAAGACATGCAGTACAGGCGAAGTGGGTAGGCTAAATTGTCCGTAGTGTATGAGTGTGAATGGACGTTTCCCAGAGATGGGTTGTGGTGGGAAGGGCATCCGCAGCGTAAAAACACATACTGGATAAGTTGGCGGTTCATTCCGTTGTGGATTAATAAAGAGACTACGCCGAAAAGAAAATGAATTTAAAGACAGAAAAGCTAAATTGTAAAATTTGTAAAACTACTATTGAGCTATCAAATATGGCAGTGGATGGGAGCAATTCACAGCCACTCAAACAAAGTACCTCAGTTTGTAAATCTGAGATGAATAGTTGTTCATTTTTGTTCTCAAAGTGGCAATTACGATCACATGAAATTATATCATGAATCATGTGTCTTACATGTTGGTCATCTGAGGTGTCCAGCTCATCCTGTGGTGCAGACTGGGGAGACACACTGTCTGAAGTGCTAAAGCTCCTCATGCTGCTGCTTCTGCTGGCCGACACAAACAGACTCAGATTGTCAAAGTCATCCGGCCTCTCCGTCACCTCCCGCTGGGGGTTATAAGCCTTCAGGAATGAGGAATACACATATCCCTGCACACCTAAACACACACACAAAGAGAGACACACAAAGAGAAATGTCATTATAAGCAGCAGCAGGAGTCAGAATCACCTAATAGGAGCAAAAGAATGGCGGCTTTGTGAGACTGTAAAAGTGAATGTGATCTCCGACAGATCAGTTTCATTCCTCGAACACACTGGCTGTGGGATCTCTGATTACACTTTGTACATCCTTTAACGAATTAAAAGATCAGTTTTGTAACAAAGTGCTGATAAAACTTTCTTTTTAGTATTGCAATTTTGAAATATTTGAAGTAAAAAGTCATTTCAAGGGCTTAAGTGACTTTCAGTTGGTTTATTCTCCATTGTAGGCTTATGATGGTTCAAATTTTCTTTTCAGATTAATTGCTGAAACTTTTGCATCAATACAGTAATATTATGTGAATGATAAAATACCTCATAATGTATTGCTTAATTGTATTTTTTTGTTTATTATATATATATATATATATATATATATATATATATATATATATATATATATATATATATATATATATATATATATATTATACACAAGAGTTTTAGAAACAACAAATATTAACTTGACATCTAGTTGATCATTTCACAAATAAAGCAGCACTTACTAGTTATTTGCTCCATTTAATAAAATAAAATTAGATTATGACTACAATTTTAACATGGTATTATGAGGCATTAACTAAGAAAATAATGTCATCTAAGATTAATAAAACTTGACCTAAATGTTAACTATTGGAGCCTTAATGCACAATGTTAACATACAATAGCCCTTTAAATAGTCACAGAATTTTCAAGTAATATTTTTGCATGTTATAAGCCAGATAACCATAAGAAAATATTATTGTTTGAACTATTAGGCTAAACAATGAAGTGTCCAATCATATGGTGCTGTTATGAAATTAGAATCTGAATATTCTTAAAAAGCACTCTAAAAGTTGAAATAATAAATAATTATTAACTTTTGTGTTTTGAAGTGTCCACTATATCAATATTGTGCATGTTAATGATCATGATATACTGAGTTGTTGAATATCGTTATATGTCTGCTCCACTGACCTGAGCTACCACTATAGATGATAACAGACAAAAAGTCACCTGACATGGCAAGCATAATGGCGGTTCTGTTGGGAAGCAACAGCTCTCTGTGGAGCTGGTGAGAGGCTAGTTCATGTAGCCTATGTGACTAAGGCTTAAAACCTTACGGGATTTCTTTACTGTCTGCTGTAAGGTTATGGTGTGCTACAGCTACCAACAGATGCATCTAAAGTTTACACTTATTAATGCTTTAATGACATCTCCTGAAAAAGGTCATCGGTTTATAGGTTGTGCTTTAATAGTGTAAATAAGCAGTTTTTAAAAAAAAAAAAAAAAAAACTGCCAACATTTGTTTTGAAGTAACATTTGTATTAATGTGTTTGATGACAGCATAAATGTATAAAATCTTGGATTATACTGATCAAAAATAATTGAAAGATCAAAAGACCTGAGCTAATATTATGAACAAATACTGATTTATTAATCTTGATAAATCTTAACTTCATTCAGTTTTAATGTTGTATTTCAATAGGCTAATTCAAGATTTACAAACTAACAGTATGTGTACCACAAATTAATATTAGCTAACAATGTAGAACAGCATATACAAATAAAATAGCACTAACCTTCATTCATAAATGCTGTTACTATACAAACTTACATTTCTGAAGAGTCATCTAACCCTGCTGAAAACAACAGCTGGCAATTGAGCTTAGCTTAAAATGAAAATAAACTCTATCCATCCATCCATCTGTCCACACATTCATCCATCCATCTTCTGTTGTCTTATAAAATTAATGTAAATATTCTTTGTTGTTCTAAACTAAACTAATAGTTCTGAAACTAAAATTACAGTGGTGAAAAGACTTCCACAGCCAGTGGATACTGTTTCCCAACATTCTTCAAAATATCTTATTTTATGATTAACAGAAAAAAGAATAATGATGATAAAATTTCTGAAAAAGAAAAAAATCTGCTGCTTGTTCAAACTACTTATTTAAAATTACTGTACATAAATCAACACAAATCGAAAGTTTTTTGGGGGGAATAGATTTATGTTCAATCCACTTAAATCTGTAAAAACAATGAAGTTAATTTAATTGATTTGTGTTGGGACAACATGAAGGAACTGTGTGGAAACCAGCATTTATTTACAGTGTTCAGTGATGATGCTTCTACTTATAGAAGTCTGACAAACTCAAACATACTCACTCCCAGTGTGCACTAGCCAGCGGCTGCTGCTGCCCATCGGGTCTCTGTCCTCCAGCAGAGCCACCAGCTCTCCCTCCAGCAGGCTGATGTCTTTTTCCTGACAGGCATTGCAGTTGCGCTTGAGTTGGTAGAGCTGTTTCACAGGATACTCTTCCAGGAGCCGAGCCCTCTGTTCCTCTGTCTGTCTGAGGATCTCTGGAGCCTAAACAGAACTTTGTCAGACTTTAAAGTTCAATTGAGTTTACCTGTATTTACCGTTTTGCTCTCCTACCATTTTCTTTTCCCGTTTCTCAAAGCTCACTTTGCGCTCCATCAGCTTTTGGGAATTTTCTTTGAAGAATCCAAGGTTGCTCAGCTCTTCCATGATAGAATTTTGGACTTCATTGAAGTTTGACAAGGGAACCTAAGATGGAACAAGCAATATGGTAAATATGAAGAGTTTAGGTGCATCTGAAATGTTATTCTAAAATGAGCATTTTCCTCAGCATCCTGTGTTTGTAGTAGTTATTTTACTTTAAAGGCAATGCAAAATGCATATTATTTGCCATAACAGTGGATTTACTGAACATACACACAGGAGCTAGAGAAAAATTTCAGACGGCATTTAGAGATTTTTTGCATCTGAACTCTTCATATCGTCACAGATTTATACGATTCCATCTGACATTTTTGTCAAAATTGCGTTATTAACATATTCGTATTAAATGACAACTTATTTACATTATGGAATGTTTTTTATAAATTGTTTACATTTTATTACTTTTTATTTAAAAACAAATGTTACACACATGTTTGCTATGTGGAATGCAAAAACTTTGAAGCTCAATATCTCAAATACATTCAGAATGCAGATAGAACCTTATAATTCCAAGGTGACGATATGTTACATTTAAACATGAGAGAATCAGATCAGTGATTCTCTTCCAGTTCCTCTGAAACTATTCAAATGATGTAATGTATTTGTTCTAACATAATCTTAATTAAACTGCTAAAATGCTCAAATTAATGACATTCCTTTACAATAAGCTATAAAAATAACAACATTATGCTTTCTATTTGTTTTATTCAAACTAAAGTCTCATAGTTAATGGTGAAAAGAACATTGAAAAATTATACTCAAGTAAAAATAGCATTATTTGCCAAAAAATGTAGTGCAAGTAAAAATATCTGTTCTAGTAAAATGTAGTCCTTCTAAAAGTACTCAAAAGTAGTGAGTATAATGATGTGAAAATTATTTCACATTATATCCTTTAAATTAAAAGTTTAGCTTAAGATTGATGCATTTTACTTGCAAAGCGAAATCAGTATTTAGGCAAAAATCTAGCAGTGCCAATATATTAACTCTCAGGTTTTGCACTTTGAACCCTAACTAAACTCTAACTTTGAAACCTTGCTAAACAAGATGCTACAAACCAAGCTCATGCAGCACTAATAGAATACATCAGATTTGTGCATGTGCTTAAAAACGTAACATTCTGTACTGCTTTTAGTTGTTTAAAGCCATTTGGTGATTTCAGTCTTAATTTTCTCATCATGCAGTCTAAACAGCCTCTCAGTCCTTGTGTGTAATAATTTGGCATCTTCTTTGATACATGTAATGCTTCCACAAATCCTAAGAAAAACTACTCAGGTAATATGAGTATATGTAATTCTCTACTTTACACCGCTGTCCAAAGGTACATACTGTATAACAAATGGATTTTTAAATATTTTCCTGTTAAAGGGGGCCTTTGAATTCACAGGAAACCACTGCTATTGATTGAACAATCACAATATTGGTTAAAACATAATTTTAAACTAGAGGTGTCGTTTCAAAAACTTTTGAAAATTGTTTAAAATTGTACGTTTTTAAAAACAATACCATTATAGTATGTGTGTGAACTAAAAAAAAAAAAGAAAACGGTGACATCATGTGCATGCGTATTTCCAGAGTCATTTTAAGGGTAAGTGCATTCTATAGCCTTTGGTTTATGTATTACAGTTATGTACTTTACGGCATCAGAAGAATGCAGAGTAGGGTCAATCACTCAATGATAATTAGCAAAATCTCCACCTACAACTAAGTTGCATTACAGTGGAATATTCTGGACATCCTTTAAGAATTGGCTGCTGTATACTTCACAAATTTAAGAAACACTAGGCCACATGCCTAATGATGAATGAAAGTATGTTTACCAAAGCATTTTAGGCTGTCCAGCTTCAAAATGCCAGGATCACCTCCAAAAATTGATGACACAGCATTTTCCAACTGAAATTCTTTCTTTGCTATGATTCGGAATTCAATTCAGTATTACTAGTATAATACGAGTAATATGTTACTGTCTTGAATTCCAAATTTGAAAAATTAAAAAAAAACTTGAAGAATTTTACTAAATTCCAGTAATCAGTAATATTGACTAAAACTCCTTTGTTGTTCAATAGTTGTACAAGTACTGGACAACAGGGTAAAACAATGACTGACAGTGATGATTGCGTTGCTCTACCAAAGTTTTAGTTATCAACTCTTAGCTAAAAAAGAAATAAAAACAAAGACAGACCAAACAAACTGCCAGTCCCTCAAAATTCAGTAATTGGTCCCTAATTAGCTAATTAGCAGGTGTACATTTTTCCAATGAAGCTAGTGCCGTCACTGTGAGGGTTAGGGGGTGGGGCTAGGTGTGTGCATTAAAAGCATTGCATGCAGAGTCATTTCCTTCACACCACCTAACATTAAGATATTACACTTAGAAAAATCATGTTAAGAATCCATTTTTTTTTTTTTACATCTGAACAACTTTATGAAAGATTTACAGAAAGAAATCATTCTGCTGGGGTTTTATAAATGAGGCCCATAGTGTTTCTTTACAAAGTGGCCAGGTATGCACTTAGCATATTTTGAAAATGTTGCTATCTCTTGGTGAATCTTTTTAAAATGACAGATTACTCTATAATTTTTAATACATCGTTGTCATGTGAATTGTAAAAAAAATGGGTGTACAAATGTCCAGTCCCCATAATGAAAAATCTGCAATGAAAAGGGCTGGGCACAGTTATTTTGCTTGCATATGTATTGCAATACAAATGGCAGGATATAAATGAATTGTGCAACAAGTCATTTTACTGGTAGCTGCACCATTATTTAATGCCCCTGAAAAGCAGGTCTTAAGTCATGTGCCTTAACCATTGAACCTGCTGCAGCTCTACTTGATTATCATCAGCTTTGCTATTTTGTGACATAATTTGTGCTGCTTTTGGTTGATTGTGGTGGTTATTATGCAAATGAGCTGCTGGGTCTTTTGTTTAGTTTGCACATTGTCATTTGAATCATCTGCAGAACTGTCGACTCCCCACTACACTTTTACGGAAAGGTGGCATCACACTAAATTGCCCTGTTTAATAATAAAGCCACATAAACCCAGAAATCATCATGTAGGCTAGTTATTAAAGTGTTTAATAGTAACATTCTTGATTTCCAGGTTCTGTGGGACCCTATACTCTATATGGATTCAAGATCCTTTATGGTACCAGTATAATCGACTAATGGTTTGTACAACAAAACATTGTAGACTGTAAATTGTGATATTTGACAACAGAGGTAACCTGATCAATTTTAAATTAGTTTTGCCATTAAGAAGGACCTTGAGCCCATTGCACACAGCTGGTTTGGGAGGGTATCCAGGTACGTTTAGTTTGAGCAAAAAGTCAGTTTTCCAGTTTAAGATAGTGGGTTAGTTATGATCTGGTTTCATAGCTTTGGTAACTCACATTAAACATGTTCCGGATCAGGTTTAAATATGGGTTAGAGATTCCTAACCCAAAATGGACCCATCAGCTGACAAATAAGAGTAAAGTGATGTTTTTTCAATGCAACAAAGCCACTTCTTGTATCATGCATATTTTTTTGCTCCAAATAAAAGCCCTTTTTTCAGCCAAAATGATCTTTTATTGCTAACAATTTTTATTTCCTGATTTATAATTATTTATCCTTTATTATTTATACTTTATTATATTTTCAAATAGTTTTGAATTGCCAATCAATATTAATAATTTCTTCAAATTTTAATTTACATTAAATATTTACATATGAAGTTGCTTTATTTTGTCTTTTAGCAGTTTGTGAACTTGATGATTGTATTGATATGCATCGATATAACTTAAAGATCCCTTAGATTTTTGCTGCATCAACAGTGTTTATTTCCACCTTGTTAGTGTATTAAAATTGGTTTGTCCCTTAATCTTCAGCAAAGTAGTGAATAGCTGACTTTAAACTGATCCTCTCGTGTGTTGTGTGATTGGCTGTACGTGTCAAAGTTAATCACAAACTCTGGGTGAAACCACAAGTAAACCGAGAAAGTTTATATCTTGGATTTGTTTGGTTTTGTCAACCCGAAACTTACTCTGCTACCCAGAATTAGTTCAACAGGCCTTGTGCTTTTCTAGCATGAAAAAAGGGCTCTGTTATTTTCTCAATACTACCTAACAGGTTTGCGATCTACAACAAAGAAAAAGTAATGGGGCCTCAACTCACCGGTAGCTGTTGGACAGGCGGTTGAGCTGCGTCCATCAGCTTTCGTATTAATTTCACTATACAAATCAAGCAGTTGGTGAGTATGGTCCTGGCGGCTTGGTTGAAGCATTGCAGCTCCTCTAGCAGCTGAGCATTGAGGGCCTCGTAATCTCTTTTAGCAAGGCCCTGTTCCTCGTTTGAAGATCGGGAATCCAGCTGACTGCAGTAGTCCAACAGTTTATCATAACGCTTCTGTATCAGCTTCTGCGGCGACGCAAACATTCCCAGCAGGCTAGACAGAGGAGCCACAACCAAATGCTCCATGTGATCTTTCTGAAAAAGAAATATATACACATTGTCTTTTTAATGAGAGAAATTGATATATGGTTCATAGAAGAGGTGTTTAATTTCGGTGTCTGCAACAATTAAATGTAAACATGATTTCAAATACATTAAAAGCATGTTAATGCATTTATCAACTTTATTGTTTCAAAGAAGCTTTGTGAAAATAAAATTTTATATAATTGATCACTGCATGCAGGTATACATCCACAAACTTTGGATTTTACTCACAGACACATACATGTACTCACATGTAGGATTTATTGTTATTTATGTTCATTTGTAAATGTTGTCTTTATGTGTGTTTATTGTATGAACGATTCTTGAAGCTTGTTGGTTTCAATAGGCTGTGAGAAGTTTGAAAAGAGATTCATTGTTGATTTAGTCAATGGTAACGTGAAATCAAAGATTAGAGAATTGAACTTTTTGTTTGTGTATCTCATTGAGAAAAGACTTAAATGTGTATCTTTTTGAGAAAAGACTAAATTATCATCTCTCACGTGAAATTTCAATTATTTTCAAATATTTCCCAAATGCTGTTTAACAGAGAGACAGTTGTAGTTTGAACAAATCGTTTATTTATTTTGTCTTTGCTACGATGACAGCACATACACTAATATTATATTAGTTATTAGGAAAGATACTAGTATTCAGCTTAAAGTGTAATTTAAAGGCTTACCTAAGATAATTATGGGAATTAGGAAAGTCACAGGACAACAGTGGGTTGTTTTTAACAGGCTAATGATATTGACCTTAGCAGAAAAGAAAAGAAATAAGACTTTCTCCAGAAGATAAAAATATACAGTAATATAGATATTTTGAAATTTGTATCGCTCTGTTAAACATCATGTGGGTATTTGAAAAATAAAACTGTATGTATGTTCCAATGCATTTCAGGCAAAACCGATATGTTTCCGTAATAATTATCCAACATAGGACTACTCATTCCAACCTGGACTTTTTTAAATAGGTAAAAGAATAAGTGATCATGTTAATTTGATGAAAAACATCTTTCTGACAGGTAAACCTTGTCCTTTGAATAACATTGACAAAGTATAAACAATAAACTAAATAAATAAATAAATATACTTTTTACTGATTTGATTATTTGGTATATACCCATAATGCTGTGACAGAAAATGAAGCATAGTATTTCACTCAGAAATTATATCTTGGGAACAGTTATCACGAAAACCAAAGGGACCACCAATGAAAACTATCTTTGGGCTAATTTGGGTACATTTACGTTCTTGGGGTGCACTGATTATTGTACACGGTCCCTTTTTGTGAAAAATAAATAAACTTTAGAAACAGAACATGACTATAACTTAAATCAAAATAGACTCTAGTATTTAGTGTTTAAATCAGAACAGTTGAAAATATTTATTTCAGTGTAGTTAAACTAGTGTCTGGTGATCACTTTGAGCTTGTGCATTACTCTACTTCCCATTGCTGCCAGGTAATGTTAAAGAGGAACTCGGCTCATTTATAAAGAATTGCAATGAATGTGAGATAGTTGTGGTTCATCATAATGGTTCATTTTTGTGAACAGATAAAAGACTTACAAAGTGTTTGTATGGGTCGTTGCCATTCTTCTTTTGATGAAAGCCATTTGTGTCTATTTTATCCGGATCCTTCATTATAGATTCAAGATCCTGTGCATTTTGAACAGCAACTGATATCATCTCCTACAATATAAAAAGAAATACATTAAAACAAACAAATTAGGATACAGTACTATTTGGCTTTTGAATCATTTAGTGCAATTTGACATCTTAAAAAAACTGTAGTCTAGTAGTAGATTTAGATTTTAAAGTTACATAAAGGAGTCTTTATTTAAAATGTTTTAATAATAGCAATGCATTTAGAAGCTTTTGGATTTTTTTCTTCCCAAAATGCTAAAATCATTGCTTGTTACTTTAGCACTGCAAAAAAATAGATTCTAAAAAAATCAGATTTTGAGATAGTTTGGAATTGCATTATTTTGGCTTATATTAATAATTTACATATTTATTAGACTTTATCTCATAAGAGTGCCTAAAATCACATTATAAGCTAATCAATTTTATTTTGGTCTTTATAATTAAATTATTGTTTTCAAGAACTGTTGCTTTAGAAGAAAAATTGTATTTACAGTGCCGAAAGGCCTATTAAAACATGTTATGGGATGTTATAAAATATGTTTAAGGTTTTCACAGAGGTGATTTTATTTTTCTTCCATTTACTTTATAAAATGTGAAAAAACTGTCATAATTGTACACCGTTGGAAAAATAACTGACTAAATAAGTGTTCTATTGACATATGGTTTGTTCTAGGACAATATTTGGCAGAGATACTGTTCAGAAGTAAAAACTATTTTAAAATCTGGAATCGGGGAATTAAAAAAAAAATGAAATACTAAAAAAACATAGGTTTGAAATTGTCCAAATTGAGTTCTTAGCAATACATATTACTAACAATATTAATAACAATCAAATATTAAATGTTTATTTGTTTATACTAAGAATTTTATTAAAGAAAATGCCATCATGGATCTATAGATATGTTGATATTTGAATTATTTTTGGCTTTAAATAAAATTGATATAAATATACCCATAGAACTTGAACTCAAAATTAGTCAAACTGATGCTTGCAAAACTCTGGTTCTTGCCTTTATGAGTGTTATTTTTTTGGATACTTAATTTGTAAGTCAGTCACATATACCTGTGTATAGAGCAAGTAACAGCTGATGTTTTTCACTAACTGCCTCACGGCTTTCTCAAGGTTACGGAAAAGTTTTTCCTCCTTGTCAAAAGCTTCATCTCTCACCTGTGAATAAGACAGAAGCCACAACAACACATTCACACTTACTTTACAGCGGCTTGTGTAAAAGCAAACTTAATTTTCTTTGTTTCTTTACTGTACCTGTGGCTCGACACCAGTGAGAATTTTAAAATAGCTGGTCAGGCGGTCAGATTTTTTCCTGATGGAATGAATGTTGAACTTGTTAAGTTTACCCATCAGTGAGGTTTCGTCATCACTCCTCTTATACTTCAGCACTGAAACAACAAGCAATGTATTATTTGCACACTCAAATTACTCCAAAAGAAAAAAAAGTGGATGCAAGCTAAATAATTAAATATGCATCAGTGTTTTTGAGAACTTCTATTGAAAAGGTCAACGAAGCAATAAGTTACAATAAGTTGTAGCATGAACAAAGCATTTTGAGTTGATTTAAAAAAAATGAAGTTGATCCAATAGTTTGAGTTGTGACTCTGGCAGCAATTAATGTCAACAGAAAGCACATTCTACAAATATACAAATATTTGAAAATCTGAATCTAAATTTTAATTTTGCATTTAAAGTTGTCTAAATCAAGTTTTGATACATACAGTTGAAGTCAGAATTATTAGCCGCCCTGAATTATAAGCCCACTGTTTTTCCCCCAATTTCTGTTTAACAGAGAGATTTTTTCAACACATTTCTAAACATGATAGTTTTAAAAACTCATCTCTAATAACTGAATTATTTTATTTTTGCCATGATGACAATAAATAATATTTTATTAGATATTTTTCAAGACACTTCTATACAGCTTAAAGTTACATTTAAAGGCTTAACTAGGTTAATTAGGTTAACTAGGCAGGTTTGGGGTATAAGGTTTATGTAGCTTAAAGGGGCTAATAATATTGACCTTAAATTAAATTAAAAACTGCTTTTATTCTAGCCGAAATAAAACAAATAAAACTTTCTCCAGGGGAAAAAATATTATTAGACATACTGCAAAAATTTCCTTGCTCTGTTAAACATCATTTGGTAAATATTTAATAAAGAAAAAAAAATCAAACGAGGGCTAATTATTCTGACTTTAACTGTATATGGTATTACATTTACAAAACTATGGATCTTTACTTAATATTTTAATGAACTTTGTCAGAAAAGGAAAATTGATCATTTTGACCATATATCCAACATAAGACCACATATCTCACCTATGTCTTTCCTCCTCTTAAACTCATTAATGTTGATGTTTATGATCTTCACTGTTGTAAGAGCTTCCTGTAAAGGCCTGTGGTCAGGGTGATCTGTGGGTGTCGCATTCCACAGTTCAGCCAATAGAAGTGGGTATTTCATGATGCGCTGGACTGGTTTAATGAGTAGAGAACCCATGTCAAGCAAATTAGGCTTCCCTCTAAATAGGATATTAAATGAAGAAACGGGGAGGGGGAGCAGAAACATTAAAACTTTTTGATTCAGTGGCTAATTTGTATCAATTTGTATGATCTCATTTGTATGTTTTAGTATGATTTTCTCCTTCCACAATAAGGTGTGAGTTAAGGGGCATGCCTCCTTTAAAAAATTGTAGGTTAATTTGAACCGAATCAAATTTTTACAAATTAGCCAAAATTCTTACATTAAGTAAAATAGTTATATTTCCTTGTGAGATCATCCAAGCCCAATATTACGTTAAATTAAATTTAAATGACACTTTTAAACATTATGGTTGTTTTTGTCCAAATCTGACTCAATGTTGTGTTTTAAAACAAAGCAGAATTTTAGTGGAGTATATTTTTAAAAGTCACAAGTTTAATTACAGTCTTATAAAATGTATTGTTTAAATATGTTCTGCTGCATAAGTATAAAAGCTAACATTTGTGTTGATTAAATATCTATTGGTTCTTTATAACAGTGTTTAGGTCAAGAAATGCATACTCACTCAAGGTCATATATTTTCCTGTGAGAGAAGAAACAACACATCATTAAATGTCAGAATTAGAGCCTGAAAAAGACCTGGACTTTATACATATCTTAGAGATGAAGGCAGTTAAAATCATTACTTGAGTGCTGATATGCATCTTCTGAACTGCTGCTGAATGTCTTCCTGGGCTTCATAAGACTTAAGTGAGGCATTAGCTTCATCGTGATGATAGCAGTAAATTTTATATACCTCCTCTATGACAGCTTTGGTTTGGATAAACACTTCTCCTAATAGAACAAAATGAAAAAGTATAGTTGGAGACAGGGTTGGGCAAAAATACAACGAAATGTTTTTATAATAAAATACCAAATACTTTAAGTGTAAGTGTATCAAAATAAACTGCAAAATACAGCAAACAAAAAATGTAGCAAAATAAAATACTGTATTTGTATTTAAAAATACTGTTGTGACATCTATAAGCATTTTTGTCCTGTTTTTGTGTATGTTTCTGGACTATTTCTGCATGCCATGACAGTTTGCTGCCTGACTCAGTCTTTTGCCTATTTTAGGATTAATCTTTTGTGAATTACCTTGGGCACTACTGTTTGCTTCTGTTTTACCCCTGCCTGTTAGATCAATCTATTTGATTAAATATGCATTTGGTCATCACCCCAATTCACAACAAGAGGGTCACTTCTGTGATTTAGCATAATTGCATTAACATCAGAAGTGAAATATTTCCCAGATTTATGCAGACGTAAAGTTCACATGGACACCCGAGTTCATAAAACAGTGTTTACTTAGATGAAACAAACACATCAGATGAAACAAACAGATATTAAATGAACCCTGGTGAGCACCATGTGAACATGACTGAGAATGCAGTGCAGACTGCGATTTAAACAATTACACAAGACAAGTTTCTAAGCTCATGAAAGTAGATCAGATACATTTATGTTAGTCACATGAGGAGTACAGCTTCTGTGATTATATCAAAAATTGCTGTGAAAGTGCATAAGGTCATGGTCCCATTGTGTAATTGTAGCTAAAAATGTCATACCATTTCCCCAAACACAAATATACACACACACACACACACATATATATATATATATATATACATACATATATATATATATTCTATAAATCAGCATATACATTTGTAAGATTTTAAGAATATTTTATACCATTTGCCATTACATTATTAAAGAAATAATCCATAATCAAATCAATGTATTAATTACTGTTGTAATCTATTAAAGGGATAGTTTATCCAACATTTTTATTCTGCCATCATTTACTCACACTTCAGTTATCTTATGCCTGTTGACTTGACTGTCTTCTGTTAAACAAGACATTTTGAAAAATGTTGAAAACCTTTAACCACTGATATACACGATCCCTGTTTTTCCAATAGATTCCCAGTACTGGGTTGCAGCTGGAAAGGCATCTGCCACATAAAACATATGCTAGAGTAATAGGTAGTTCATTTTGCTGTGGAAACCCCTGATAAATCAGGGACTAAGCCAAAGGATAGTGAGTGAGTGAGTGAGTGAGTGAGTGAGTGAGTGAGTGAGTGAGTGAGTGAGTGAGTGAGTGAGTGAGTGAGTGTTTCTACTACAATATATGTTAATGGCTACTGGTTTCCGACCTTCTTCAAAATAATTTCCTTTTTGTTCAACAGAGAATTGGAAGCTCAGCGAAATTTGGAACCACTTGAGAAAGAGCAAAAGGTCAGCAAATATTTATTTTTGGAGAAATATCCCCTAAACAATTTAAAATAGTTATTTATACAGGCATATTTGTTTATGATTTTAGGGATATATGCTAAACTGTCTGTAATCCTGGGTCAAAAAGTCTATGTCCTGTGTATTTTACTGTGAAGTAAGGGCATTTGTGTGGCATGTTATTGTAGGGCTAAAAATGAATTTTTACATGCATGGACATTAAAGATAATTTCTAATCTAAAGGTAATTTCTAGTCCTAACCCTAATCGAATCTAATAATCAAAAACAACAATCAGATTGAATCAATAACACACTATTTATACTTAAAGATGAGCTAATTATTGATGCTGGTGGAATACAATAATATATGTAATAATAATATATTTGAAAATGACCTATAAGCTGTGTTTCAGGGTCAGGGTCAGCTATGGCATCTTGGAGCCTCAGGAGCAGATCGTTAGAGACATCACACACAGACTCAATGTTGGTGAAAAGTCGATCCACATCCACAACCTACAACAAAGTAAATTCATTAGACTCCAATTCAATTAATGCATCAAATATAGAAATGGCATGTAGATTCTTAACAATCCACTATGTTCTAAACCTGTTCTAGTTTTGCAGTTAAATAGTGTGTTTAGCATGTAAAGGCCCAACAAACTATCGGTTCAATTAAAATCCAATTGAACCAGAAGCTGTGACCATTTTATTTATTTTTTGTATTGAAACACAGTTAAAGAAATAGAATATTAAATGAAACAACAGTGGGCGTGGCTTGTTTTTCTACAGCGAGCTGAATGGATGTAGTAATGTAGGCATTTCATTCAGAAAGATTGGGAAAAGAGTTTGGGGAGAGTTATTACAACCTAACAGACGCCTCTTTCTCACCATTCCTCTTTGTTGTCAAACCTGACAGTTGCAGCAGCATGGTTAAATAGGTTAGCCACGCCCATTTGCCAAGATATACGTAATCTGACAATGTAACTGAAAAAGGAATGCTTTTACAGATATCAATTAAAGATTACAAGGGCAACCAATTTTTTTTCTTTAGGTCATGCACAGATTAATTGTTCACCACAAAGCTAGCAATGTGAGCTGACAAAATCACATGGTTAGTTTTGATTTATTGGGGACTCAATCAAGACAGACGTTTTATGCACAAATCTGTGAGAATGTGGAACTGTGAACATGCCTGTGCTTCTCTCAGAGGAAGCAGAACTTCATTTATGCAAAGCTCTAAGTCCCGTTGATAATCTCCCTCCGTCCTGACCAGCTCCTCAATGACCTTTGACCTTTTTATCATCTTCCTGTGACGGATCTCTTCTGGATCCATGGCTGGAGATGCAAGTAAGGAGAGACCATGGGGGGACATTTTCTCTGATGTTAGGAAGAAAAAGAAGATCAATTAATTTCTGTAGTTTATATTTACAATGAGAAAAAGAGACATTTAAAAAGGTAAAAGAAGATAGTAAATAAAAGAAGGCCCAAGACAAAGCCTTGAGTAACAGGTGAAGAATATGATGATTTAATGATTTAAATATTATAATTTGGACAAACTGAGCGAGGAATTAGAGAAATAAGACCTAAATTAAGTGAGTGGAACAATTTAAAAAAAAATTGAGGTTAATATCTAAAATATATTGATGGGAAATGGTAAGGCTGAACTTAAATCAAGCAAAATAAGCCACCAACAACAAATTGTTTGTAATTTTAATATGCAATGAGAACATTGTTCTAACATATTGTTTTCTGAGCAAAAGCCTTTTTGTTCTTAGCATTTTGCTACCATTTATGCATAGTAAGCTTTTAGGTAGCACTTTATGTTGTTAAACAAATGCTGCAATAAATATTCATTTAACAAAATAAAATGCAACCGAAAACCTTAATAAGTATAAACTGTAACAAAATGCTAAGAACATAAGGGTTGTTGTTCAAAAAGTTTTTTTATATAATTATTTGAGTGTTGTGGTGTTTTGTATTTATATTTTATTTGTTTGACATTGTGTGCAAATTCTGCAATCAGTATTTACACTAGCTTGTGGAAAAGCTGCTTGTGATGAACTTTGCTCCATCATGTGGCTTTCTCCTTCCTTTCTCCTGTTTATTATATTTGTTGTTGGCATACATTAAAGGTACTTAACCGATTTTACCCAGCAGACACACAGGGCCCTATTATACACCCGGCGCAATTGCTGTCAGCCTGGCGCAAGAGTTGCTTTGTTGTTTTGCGCCACGCTGTTTAAGTAGTAAATGCATTTGCGCTCATATGTGCACCCATAGACGTTCTGGTCTGAAAAGGGAGGCGTGTTAAGGCGCATTGCTGGCGCGTTGCTATTTTGAGAATCTATAATGGTCTGTTCTATAGACCAGAACAAAGCCGGTCTAAAGTGCAGCGCAGAGCGCATTAGCTGAGCACCTTGCTTACACACTGCTTAATACACACAAGGTGTAGAGCAGGGGTGGCCAATCCTGTTCCTGGAGATCTACCTTCCTGCAGATTTCAGTTGCAACTCTTATCAAACACACCTGTCTGTAATTATCAAGTGGATTTCAGGTCCTAATTAATTGGTTCAGGTGGGTTTGATGAGGGTAGGAGCTAAACTGTACATGATGGTAGATCTCCAGGAACAGGATTGAGCACCCCTGATGTAGAGCAATACGCAAATATCTTTACATAGAGACATCACACTCAATGTTGGTGAAAAGTCGATCCACATCCACAACCTACAACAAAGTAAATTCATTAGTCTCCAATTCAATTAATGCATCAAATATAGAAATGGCATATTTTGATGCAAAACAATTAAAACACTAAGTGTATATATATATATATATATATATATAGGATATAATAAGAATTTAAAGGATATAAATATGAAGGATTAAAATATTCTAAAACATTTTTTCAAGCCTACATAAATACAAAAACCATACTTTCATGCCTTCTTCATCTCAGGGGGATTTTTCAGTTTACTCATAACAATTTGCTTTTGTTTAATGTTATTATTATTAGCAGTATTATTTATTATATTCATATTTATATTTGTTTTATTAAAAATAAGCTTAGATTTGCCCACCTGTCAGGTTTTAGACCATATGGGGCATAGCATGTGTATTAGGATATAACTTTTTTATATATAAAGTTTTTGAACACACTTCGTTATTATTGTTTACTTTTTCATTTGCTCGAAATTAGAACTGAATTTAGAAATAGTTTAGAAACAAATCTTTGCACTTAACAAACGAAATTAATTATAGGCTAATTGATGTCTGTGGTACAAGGTTTCCCACGAGAGCGAAAGTGAAATTAAACAATGAGGAAGCTTATCTCTCATTCTCACGCTGTAGATGCTCTGTTTAACTGTGTTCTTGCAAGTGAAATGCTCAGTTTTTCCACTTACAAAGTCCGTCATGTAAATAGCAAATGCGCTATGGCGCGACGCAACTGGCTCTAAAAGGGAATGGGAGATGAGACTGACTGGTTTAATCTCATAACACATCTATAACTCATTAAGAAAATAAGCTCAACCCTTTTAGGCGCAAAGCAGATTTTTCCATCCTTATATTAGCAAAAGTAGATTCTGACACGCCCTGAAAGAGTTTGTGCCCTGCGCTTTGCACATTGCTCATGGATCGTCAAAATATAGCCCTTAATGTCATAAGACATTAATATTAAGTTATGTTTAGGTCAAGTGACCAAAATTCAATATAAGCCAGCTTTTAAGGGCAACGTTATTTTGATGTCCAATAATGAAGTCAAATAATGTTAATATAGCCGGTAACACTTTACAATAAGATTCATTAGTTATTGCATTTACTAACATGAACTAATCATGAACAACACATGTACAGCATTTATTAATCATCCAAGTCCGTGCTTGTTAGCATTAGTTAATGCACCGTGAGTTAACATGAACTAACAACGAACAACTGTATTTTCATTAACTAATGTTTACTAACATGAATAAATACTGTAGTAAATGTATTGTTCATTGTTTGTTCATGTTAGCAAATATATTAATTAACATTAACTAATAAACCTTATTGTAAAGTGTGACCATATAGCCTATGGTTGATTTTATGTTGTGTTGGAAAGTGACCAAAATCCAACATTGAGCCAACATCTTAAATATTGATGTCAAATACTGACATTTATTTGTCAGGTATGGCAACAAAATCCAATGTCTGATAGAACTCATAGTAGTAATGTCCACAAAAAAATGTCAAGCTGTAACATCATTAGATGTTGATATTTGGTTGAATTTAGATTGGATGTTGGATATTGATGTCGGCCTGACGTTGGGTTCTGACATCAACCTGTTCTTCATTTCTTAACAAAATGCAATGTCCCCATGACATTGGAGTGCAACGTCAGTTGGACATCATGTGGGTGTTCTGTGCTTGCTAGTAGAAGCATGGCCTGCAGAAAAGGGTTCTTGGATGTACCTGTGTGTGTGTAACTTGTTTTCAGTGGTGAAAGTAACTAATTACAAATACTCAAATTACTGTAATTAATTACTGTACTTTTACTCCACAACTTTCCTTCCTCCTGCAGTCACTACTTTTTTTCTTGTCTATGGAGATTAAAAAAATCAGTCCTGTGATTTCTGTCCAATCAAATCACATATAGAAGGTAAATAGCATCATAATGAGCTACCTCAAGACATAGACGATTTATAATTGCAGCAAACTGTTTGGAAGCATATTAAAAGTGTCCAAGAAGATGTCCAAAATCAATATCAGTATTTAACATCAATAGGTTGGTTTAAGATGTTGGCTCGACATTGGATTTTGGTCACTTTCTAACAAAACCTAAAATCAACCAAATATCAACGTCATTTAACGTTGTTATTAGACATCAAAATAACGTTATACTTATAGACACTGGCTAGACATTGAATTTTGGTCACTTGACATCACAACCTTAATCTAACCTAATATTACGTCCTATGACATTGTGTACCTGCTGGGCACTAACTACATGCACTACAGAATGTTACGTTTACACACATCCACAAATTACATGTAAACGCATTAGCTTTTCACAGCATAATATTCACTACTCACTACTCATGAGTAATTTTAAAAGGGCTACTTTTTACTCGAGTAAAATTGACAACATATACTTTTACTCTACTCACACTACATTTTTAGACAAGTAATGGTACTTTTATTTGAATATGATTTTTAAGTACTCTTTCCACCACTGCCTCACATTATGCCCACCATTAATGCAGCAATGTCAGTAAATCTTAACCTTGTAGGGACTGTTTTTTTTTTTTTTTTTTTTGTCCACATGAGAAAAATTGTTCATAAATTATAAATGTAAAAATCCAGAATGTTTTTGTGATAGTCTGGTTTAGGGTAGGCTTGTGGTGGGGGATATAATATATAATATGTGATTTGGTATATAGATTTTTGTACACATAGTTTATAAAAGATGTAAATATAGATTATAATTCGCACACTTTTGCTATAATCTACATGAAGCTAAAAAATGATGTAAGATGAATAAGTTAAACAATGCGGGCATGTAGTCTGGGAAGTGAGATTATTCTTTCTAATCACCTCCATGTGACACTTCCTCCTGACAGAGACAGTGAAAGACAGAGGCCACAGGCAAAGGTGGGGTCAAGTGTCATATTACTTTTTGACACGGTATTACTATGCTGTAAAAATCTCAACCAGGACTTTTATATCTGTACTCCAATCTCAAAAATGATTTAGCATTTAGACTAATCATTGTATATAATTTTAATTTTGTCAAGTATGCAAAATGACTGCAGTAAGGTGCGTAGTTTCCCTTGCATTTAATGACAATCATATATGAAAAGATCCACATTTACATTTTAAATGAATGCTTTTAACATTAAACTACTAAACACTAAATATTTTTTCTTCAGGTGAAATGTTTTTATTCTTTTTCAAATATTTCCTATTGTATTTATTACAAAATCATTAGTCCCCATAGTAAATTATGCTCTTCAGTCAGTTACAGAACTGTTGTCCAATGATTTGCCTAATCATCCTTGCCTACCAGCTGTAAATAACCTAGTTATGCCTAATAAATGCACTTTAAGCTGAATACTCGTATCTTACAAAATATAACTCCATGTACTGACATATAGCCAAAGACAAAACAAATTCTTATTAGAAATGAGTTATTATAAGCACATAAATATTTATCAATTATTTATTATTTTTAATTAATTTGTTTTCAACTGTAAGTTTGATTTAATTAAATGTAATTGTAATTGAAATGTTGAAAGATATCATTGTTTAGTAAAGTAGTAAAGACCAAATCATCCTAGAATTTAAAGTCAAAGGTCATTAATTGACACTTTCAGTAATCCCAGTGTCTCTGTTTGATGTTTATTGCATTGAATATTACATTATTTTACAGTAAAATTAACAGCAATGTTAATTCATTTATAAGTTGCCACTGTACATGTAACAGTAGTTTATCTTTATCATCTATTTTTTTACATTTGCATTTTACATAAATTTTTTTCTGTAAAAAAATACAATTGCATTCTTTCCAGGACACAATACTCTCACTCATATGTTCAAGAAATGTGCAACACAAGATAAAATTTGAGGAGCAAATCTTAGACAAAGAGTTTGCTTATATGACAATAGAGGATTGTGTTCCACTCATCTCATTCACACAGACTTATATAACAAATCGCTGCCCTGCAATTTACCTACAGTTGATGTGCTTACTGATGCAGAATAAGTTTGAATATGACACCAACCTAATTTACTACAGTTCATTCAAAATTATAGCAAATGTTGCATAATTCAAATAGTATTAAAACATTCTCCAGTGAACTTGAATTTATCTGACTGAGCAATTGAGACAGGTAGAAGGTTCTCATGAAAGGAAAGCACAAAGCCTTTCATGAGACTTTTCACTGAAGGCAGACTAATGGAAACCTGTGCCGCGCAGAACAGATCACATTTCTGCAGGTAAACGTGACCTGACTAAACTTGATTTACTGAAGTCGAAGTTGCCTTTGTATTGAATCCATAACTATTTAAAAATTATTTTCAATGAACTAAAAGCCTCAAGCAAGACTACAATCCTGCACCTTCTCCGCTTGGTTTGTCTTAATAACACAAAGCAAACACACATCAAATATATCTCTTATCCACACAAGTGGAACCTGCCCTGCAAGTGCCCATTAAGAGCTTCTGTCTCATGTGATCAAGTGTTTGCTTAGGACATTGTTTTTTTTGTTTTCTTTTTTTAAAGGGAATATCATATTTCAAACACATTTACACAATCATACATCACTAAGCAACTATTACACTGTCATTTTATTTAGTTGATTGTTTCATTACTTAGCATGAGACTTGAGGGATCCAGAACAATCAGGTTTATGAGCGTTTCCTGTTCAGGGATCAACATTTCCTCAATGATGTCATCATATTTGACTTTAAATGTGCCTCATGATAAACAGCTGGCTGTCAATGTCTAATATGTTGTAGAGACTAAATCTCTTGAAAATAAGCTGATGTAAACAGTAATTCCATTTTTTTTTTTTACATCAGATGACCAAAACTAAAAATTAAAGACATTTGTTGCATTACTTATTAATCTGTGTTAACTAATGTTATTTAATAAAAATACACCTTCATTGTTAGTTCACATGAGGATACACTGTAAAAAATGCTGGGTTCCACATTATCGATTTGTTCTGGGACAACATGAAGGAATTAAGTTCACTGATTAGTTTCTACAAGTTTAAGTGGATTAAACATAAATCTATTTTAAAGAGTTGTCTTGTTTTAGCTCATTTAAAATAAGTAGTTAGTAAACAGTGAACATTTTTTGAATGATCAGTATGAGAACATTTAGAAAATTATTAAAGAAAAATATCAAATAATAATTTTTATTTAAAGATTTTTTGTTGTCACTGCTAATTCATGTAACCCAATGAAGTTAGCTGTTGCTAACAAATAAAAATAAGAGTAGTCTAAAATCTAAATATGTTTTAAATATGACAGCTAACACAGTATTTTAAACCTAAAACTAAAATGTGGACATATTTTCTTAAGTATTTCAGACACATTGTTTCATTAAGCAGATTTCTGAACATAAAATGCTTTGTTTACTTTTTAAAGGTGAATTGTAAAGTCTCAGAATTCTCCTTGACACGAGTCGAGTTGATGACAGCTCATTTTGTTTATATAAGAGCTATTGTCTGAAAACACTGAAGCTTGTGTGACAAGATTGTCCTCATACCTGTAGCTGTCACAGGTACACAATGTCATGACTTGGCTGCCCTGAAAATCTTCATTCCCTCTTCAGCTGATGTAGATAAACTAGTTGTAAACTTTTTGTGTGTATTAATGTTTTAGTGAGCTTGTGTGTGTGTGTGTGTGTGTGTGTGTGTGTGTGTGTGTGTGTGTGTGTGTGTGTGTGTGTGTGTGTGTGTGTGTGTGTGTGTGTGTGTGTGTGCGTGTGTGTGTGTGAATGTCTGTATGTTTGCGTGGATCAATGTGTCTATGTGTACAGGAGGAAGCGTACAAATCAGATTATCTGATAAGATTTTGAGAAATATAACAAAACTAAATTTAAAAAATCCAGATAACAAATAGTAACAGAGATATTTACAGCATTAGTAGTGACGATAACATGTATTAATAATACAATCAACATCTATAATAATAATAATAATAATAAAGTGTCATTAAGTTTGTGACGTGGTGAAAACAAGAAGGTCAGCAAAAATAATGAATACTGAAATAAGATACCTCTGATCCCTTAGCCCATATCTAGTTAAACTAGTTTTCAACAGCTGATGTCATTCTCAAGTTATGATTATGATAACACTCATGTCATTACTACCAGACTGACAGAAAGGTCACAAGAAAAATGAATGAATCAATGAGTACACTCTTAACCCAAATTGTTGCTGGAAAACTGTGTGGAAACCTGTTGCCTTAAACCACTCAAAGTTTTACACAAGGTGAAACTAGATTATATGTTCATTCAGCTAGGACTGTTTAGTTTAACCTTGAGTAAAAACTAAAGTGCTGTATGGCAACAGGTTTTCTAGCAAAGTCAACTATTTGGGTTAAGAGTGTAGCTTTATATTTCTTATCCATCGCATGCAAAAAAGTGCAATGTGGGAAAAAACACACTAAAGATTAGATAGTAACTAGCAACTTCCTGATAAAGTAAACAACGTAAGCACTGTGGCTGAGCTTGTTTACGACTATTCCACAACCATGCTCAACACTGTGGCCGAGGAACAGTTTGCATATGTGACATCAGTCCAGTGGGAATAGATCTTTCTTTCTGTAACGTAACAACGCAACAGGTGCTAAGCATCAGCACACACACACACATACACACACATGCCCTCTGTTTTAATTCACTCCATACAAAGATCTAATGGAATTTGAGAGAGGGGCCTTTAAAAGTGCATAATTGATAGAAAAGCAGCTCTGTGCTAACCTGCTGCTCTGCAGGAAAAAGGATGAAGGAAAAATGAATGACAAAATAATAATGTGTTGCTGTTCACATTACAAAGACTCAGAGTTTTACTCCAAAAAATGACTAACAAAATTAACAGAACACTGCTTGTGACAAAAAACATAACATCCAGTTTGTGAATAATGCAATACATTACCTTTAAGTTTTGAACTGTACTCTGTCTTGTCAGATTGGCTCCTTCTCACCAATGTTGCGATGCTGATGTCACCTTTGGAGGAGTCATCATCCACAATAGTGTCTGTCTTCCTCCTTTCCAGGTATCTTATGAAAAGTCTATTTCTCCTTTTAATGGTTTTGTCCTTTTCCTTTTTCTCCCCTTTTTCATTCTCCCTGTCATGCCCGCTGGCCTGGCTGGGATCCATGTTGACCCTCTCTGCTCCCACTTGTTTGGCTGTCTGGAGTTGAGGTGAAAGAGAGAGTCTGGGAAGAGGAACAGGTGCAGTGTTGCGTCTACTGCTGTGTAAACTCACTCCATGCAGGTAAACCCTCCCCCTCGCTCTGTTTCCGCCATACCTGCCTCAGGAGAGCTATAGCCACTCCTCCGCCATTTTCTCTTCACAAACAAATTACACTATGAAGCTACAGATGAAGTGTTATGGACTTTTGACAGTTTGGTCTCCCCTAAATAGAAGGGAGATGGCTTAAATTGTGATTCGTGCAGGGAATTATCTTGCAGAGTTACTTGAATTTGCAAGGAAACATTTGCATACTTGTTGGGCATGTGGAAAATGACAAAGACAGAAAGAATCAGACCAGCAGGCAGCTAAGCCACAAGTAATATGTCTGTCAGAAAAATGTGTCTATCTATCTATCTATCTATCTATCTATCTATCTATCTATCTATCTATCTATCTATCTATCTATCTATCTATCTATCTATCTGTCTGTCTGTCTGTCTGTCTGTCTGTCTGTCTGTCTGTCTGTCTGTCTGTCTGTCTGTCTGTCTGTCTGTCTGTCTGTCTGTCTATCTGTCTGTCTGTCTGTCTATCTATCTATCACCTGTCTGTCTGTCTATAAACAAATTTGAAATGGGGTTAATAAGCATACCTTGAAAATCAGTGTCATGTATGAAGCAAAACAATCCACTTTGACTACTGGAAATATTGTTTCGGATGGGTGCAGATAGAGTTAATATTAAACAAGAAGGAGGGTCTGATGACTTCACTCTGAAGGGCATGACAAAGGTCGACATATCAAACAGGCCTGTAAAGTTTTCGATTTGTGTCAACATTTACATAGCATTACGACAACACTGGTGTATATATCAACATTAAGACCAAATGTGTAAACCTTGGGAAAAAAACATGTGATGGGGAATCTGTGGACTTTTAAATTGGATTGTGTTTTTTTGTTTCTTTTATTTGATTGTGCCATCAAAACTTAAATGTATGTATGTAACTTAAATGTTACTAAGAGGTGGTAGAAAAGATGTTTCTGCACCTAACATGTTTCAAAGTATAAGTTATTGTTTATAGTGGTGGAATCTGGTTTATCTGGAATTCTGAGTTGAATAACAATTAATTTCTCATGTAGATACGTAATGAGTGAATGAACGTATTTATCTGTCGATTACAGAAAGAATCAGGAAAGTGATTCTTGTGCAATGATTGCATTGTGTACACTGATGATACAGATTGGGCACAGAAAACAAGATTAATGTTTTCATTTTCAAATAAAGAAGGTTGCATTAAATGACATATGTTGTACTTGTCCGTGTTTGGTCAATAGCTGTGTTTTATTTATTATAAAGCAAAAGCATTGCTAGGACACTTTTGTGGATCACCGCAACAAGGAGATGAAGTTGAAGGGATTTTCAGCCATGGCTTTATTTACAACACAGCACACTCTCCTGTAGCATACTGCTTTTATATACAGTACAGTATATAAAAATGCTAATTATGTCTCAGGTTTGCTTAGACGGGAGTGACTCTTCACCATGTGCACATACATAATACAAAACATGTTTACTGCACATGCAAACAGGAGTGCTTTTTTATTTGAGCATATGACGAGAACAATATTTCTCAAGCAGACAGACATTTACTGACCAATATTTTTGGAATTTTTAATATTAGAATCGGAATGTAGCCAATCTTAGATTGCCAGCCATAACGGTGTGAGAAAATGTACTTATCATAATCATGTGATACTTCCTACATATCCCGCGGCTTATGTGCAGATAAGCAAAAAACAAACAAAATGCAGATAAATTAACTTTCATCTTATAATGATGAGGGTGTGACAACATAAGTAGAATTCAATTCAAATCATGCTTATTTATGTTGGGCTTTTACAATGTAGATTGTGTCAAAGCAGCTTAACATAGAAGATTATAAATTGAAACTGTCAGTCCCGTTTTAAGAATTTAAATTCAGTTTAGTTCAGTTAAGTGTAGTTTAGATTTCACTTCTGAAAGTCCAAACACTGAAGAGCAAATCCATAAATGCGCAGCTCCACAAGTCCTAAACCAAGCAAGTCAGCGGCAACAGTGGTAGGGGACAAACTTCACCAATTGATGAAAGTGAAGGAGAATACCTTGACAGAAATCAGGCTCAGTTGGGCACAACCATTTCTCCTCTGGCAAATCTTCTTGTACAGAGCTGCAGTCTATGCACCGGAGGATGAAGAACACTGAACATTCATTGTGGAGAACTGCTAGTGTGAATAGGTTACTGGTGGGTGATCAGGCTTGCCTACCAGATCAATGCGGGACTCGTCTGTCACTGGGGTCTTTCAGGAATCAGTGTCATGGTCTCTGCTCCTTCATGACCGCCACAGCATCAGCTCAGGGTACGGCCTGGTCCAGGATTATGGATACCTTGGCATCATTTCTTCACAGGTCTTGGATCATCAAGGGTGCTGCATAATCTCTAGAGGTCCTGGAATGAGTATCCCCAGGTGGAAATAGGGATTAAAGAAAATTATTAGCATAAATAAACATTGAAACAAACATGTGAAGCATAAGAGTATTTCTAACAAAATGTCTGGTGCTAAAAGACAGAAGGATTGTGTTCTACAGGTCAAGCCCATTCACTTGCATGGAGCACACTCATGCATCATACTGTTATGTGATGCATTGTGTATGCTTTACTAAAAAGATAGTTCTTTAATCTAGTTTTGAACTGAGAGTGTGTCTGAGCCACAAACATTATCAGAAAGGCTATTCCAGAGTTTAGGAACCATAAATGAGAAGGCTCAGCCTTCTTTAGTAGACTTTGATATTCTGGGTAATACCAGAAGCCCTGAGTGAAATCTTAAAGAGCGGGTTGGATTGTAGCGAGATAGAAGGTTGCTTAGATAAACAGGAGCTAGATTATTTTAAGCTTTATAGGTAAGAAGCAATATTTTATAATCAATATGGAATTTAACAGGCAGCCAGTGTAAGGAGGATAAAATTGGGGTGATATTTTCTAGACCTGGTAAGAACTTTGGCAGCTGAGTTTTTGCAACCAGCAAATATCTTCATCAATGAATATTCAGAGTTTGTATTTCACAATTTTTTGTTAATTTAAGGTGAGAAAATACATGTTCATATTTAGAACAGAACTATACATCATAGCACACCTGAACTTCTAAAAAAAAATATATTGTTGCAAAGCAGCTTTACAAAACGTACATTTTATTACATTAAAACTCCAAAACGCAAAGATAAAGATGCAGTATACAGGGTGGTTTCTACAGATATTAAGCATATGCATATAATATATTTAATCAGAACAATACAATTTTTCAAAGCAGTGGCACCTACAGTATGAATATAATATACTTTTTGCAAAGAGGTGATCTGGTCAATAGAATAATTAAGAACATATTTTTGTATGGGCGGTTCATTCAGCTGTGGCGCCCCTAGTTTAATAAAGGGACGAAGCCGAAAAGATAATGAATGTATAATTTTGTATGCTTAGTTTGGGCTGTACTCAAAGTCCTTGCAAATTGGTATCACCTCTTCAAAGGTCTTGGAACTGGTTTCATCAAGAGTTGCACAGTTTCTAGATGCCTCTGGAAAGGCCTCCTGAAGTAGAAAGAGTAAGCAAAAAAATAAATAAATAAATAAAAAATAATATTAATGAGAATTAGCATAGCTGCTATTCATAAAAGTTGTAATCAAGAGTTACATTATGTTGCCAAAAGCTTTGGGAAGCCCATTCAAATCACTGAATCCATGTGATCTAATTACTTCCATGGCCACAGGTACATAAAATCAAGCATCTAGGCATGCAAACTACTTTGATAAATGGTTGGGAACAACAGCAACTCAGCCACAATGCAGCAGGCCATTTAAAATCAGTGGAGTCTTGGCATGTTGAGGCAGTGCGGCGAATCTGAAGTCAAAACATACAGATATGTAAAATACATGGGGTCTTCAAATTACCTCAAGACAAGTGCCAAGCAGCGACATCCAAGCCTTAAATCACCAAATTCAATGCAAAGTGTCAGAGGCAATGGTCTAAAACAGGCCAGTAGACACTAGACCAGTGGAGACGTGTTCTCTGGAGTAACCAATCATGCTTTTCTACCTGACAAAATGAGAATGGTTTTGCCTGACTGCATTGTGCCAAGTGAAATGTTTGTTGGATGGGGATTATGGAATAGAGTTGTTTTTAGGGGATGGGCAAGGAACTCTTAATGCTTCAGCATACCAAGAGATTTTGGACAATTTCATTTACCAGATGTTGTGGGAAGTGTTTGAGTTTAGCCCCTTCCGGTTTCAACATGACCACACACCATTGCCAAATCTGGTCAGCAGGGTAATGTTAAAAGGCTGTAGAGCATTAAGACACATGGATGGCATAATTGCAGTGGACCTACAAAAAAAAAAAAAAAAGATCTGCAACAGCAAGAAAATGCAATAGTTATACTGCCACGGTTGTAGGTGTGTGCACATTTCTGAGGGTTCTGTTTGGTCAAATGGTTTTGTTTTGGTGTTCCACGTGTGCTTGGTACATTAGTGTTTTGTCACATGCTATTTGGCGTCCAGCTATCCTGATTAGCCTGCCAGCTGCAACTTGTTATGTTGGCTATATCTGGAAAGCGCGCTTCTTGTCTCATGTCAGTTCATTGTTAGTTTTGATGTGCTCTCTGTCACATGAAGTTCAGGGCTGGCATGGAGAACCGTCTGACACCCAGAGCTACTTTGTTCCTGTCTGTTTCCCTGAACCTTGTTTGTGCGGGATACCTTATCTTTTGTTTGTTTAATTTCTGTTTTTGGACTTGTTCACATGCTACATTGACTGTGTCAATAAAGTATTTTTACTTGCAATATTGGATCCTTCAAGTACTCTTTTCATGTAACAGAACAAACTGACTATACACATGGATCCAGCAAGTATAGCTCAATTTACTGACCTTGTAAACCACACTAACACCAGGATAGACCGGCAGGAACTATTATTGGCTAATACCAATCAAGCTATTCAGACCTTGGTAGGTCAAATGTCTGCACTCACCACGCAAGTTCAGCAAATGACTGCCGGAGTGGTCTCACAGGAAGCTGCACCATCTCCAGACCCGACGCCAGCACCAGAAGCGATGAGCCGTCTACCTGAACCTCGCCTTCCTGAC